TTCTCATTTGTCCTTCAACTTGGGAATGATTCTGTCCTTAGGCACACCATGGGGCCAGTCTTTACAAGTGGCACTATCGTAATAGTGTGCCAGTTTGGGACCTGAGTTGGCCACATTCCTTTCTGAGCCTACTCTGATGACCTGCCTTAGAATGGCCTTGTCCAAGCTCACCTTGATATCTGCCTTGTTCAGTGCTTGGTAGGCAATTGTGTTTCAGAAAGTCTTTGTAAATAACGATTTTAAAGTCACCAATTTACAGAGGAACAAAGTGAAATACAGAACACAAAATGTGATTGATGTCATAAAGCAAATCAATGCTCCTAAATGCAATTTGCCATTTGTTCTCCTGTAAATATGGGAAGCTGGTGACTCAATGTTCTTACTGTAAAAATGCCCAAAGGAAGAGAGTAGAAGAAGGGTGACAGCTGGGGGAGAGCTACCACTGGAATGGAAGGAGGGAGGGAGGAAAATAGGAAAGGAGGAGGATTGTGAGAAAGAGGTTGATTACTGCCTTAAAACCTTACTACAGTGGCCCTGAATCATGGAGCTGCAACACACCTGGAGCATTTATAAATTCTTTTGAGGAATGCCAATATGCCTCGTCAGCCAGCAATTCATGAGCTCAATGCAGTAGTTGAAATCAAAGGGGTAATGGCCACAGCTGTCAGGATCCAGATGCTCTGGGGCTCAGCCCTGCCACTTTGTCCCAGCACTCATGTGAAGGAATGCTGTGAACTGGGCATATCACCACCGTTCACCCTGGCCTGCTTCCAACAGCACCAGCTGCATCTGGCCTGGAAGAAGGCCGCAGCTGGCAGCCCCATGTTCCCCACAAGGCTGGGCATTGGGCTGCAGCCAGGCTGCAAGTGCTGGAGCTCCACCCAGCACACTCTCCGTCCAACCTCATCTGCCTGTCTCCCCGAGAATCCCCAGGGAAGCTTTGCCTTTCCTGGCACACAGAATCCTCCTGAGAACTGGCGTCTTTCTGCAGTCAACAGAAAAGATGGAATGAAAACCACACAGATGAAAAGTCATGTCATTTATTAATAATTTCTTTTTTTTTTTCTTCTATAAATTGGAAGGAAAAAGTCTTTGGTGACACTCTCTATAAAACAATCTATCTTGGATGGCGAAACCCAGACATAAAGTTACACAGGTCAGTGAAGTAAATCAAGGTCTATGGCTTTGTATTTTCTCACATGCGCTCTCACACATACTCGAGGGCTTAATTATGCTAAGTCATTAATACTCTATAACAAATGGGAAAAACACTTCAGAAAAGACCTGTGGTGACACTACAAAAACATTGGCAACATATTAGAAAACTCTGTCCCGAATGTACATTGTACACAAAATAAGGTATACTTTTGTTTTTTTTGCGTTACAATTTGCCACCTAAAATAGTTCCATTTTTCAATGTCTTTCTTTCTGCCCCTCAACATATCCTATACATATTGTTCTCTCAAAATAAGTACACAAGGTTCATTACATGGTAACCAGGTCATTTGCATGGCCCTAGTTTTAGGAGTAATTACAACCGAAAGGACAGGGATGTATTCCTGTAGGAGAAGAACAGAAAACTATTGCAGAAATCAAATGACCTGAGATCTAAAAGGCAAATCATTACAAAACCAGAGTGACTGAAAGGCTAGCCTGACTTGATTTTAAACAAGGGTGAGACTGTGCTATCCTGAGGACTCAGCTTTCTTGAGGGTTGCCTTCCTCTCCTAGCTACTGGGCCACTGACGTTCCAGTTTTGGGTAGTTCATCAAGGTTCCTGATATAAAATGTACTGGAACTGTAGACCAGTGACAACTACAATCCCTGCTAGGTAGAACTCATGGAGGCAAAAGCCTTTGAGTTTTGGAAAGGGTTAAAAAAGAGGGAGAGAAAGTTTTGAGGAGTCACTTTCATCATCACAATTATGGTATAAGTGACAGCTTTCCTATCCGGAGGTTCTGGACAGCATTACTGAACTGATGGGAGAGAGGACTGTCTTAGGGTACTCAATCCCCCTGGCTTAAAAAAAAAAAAAAAAAAAAAGGACTTGGAGCTGGGCCTGGTGGCTCATGCCTGTAATCCTAGCACTTTGGGAGGTGGAGGTGGGTGGATCACCTGAGGTCAGGAGTTAGAGACCAGCCCAGCTAACATAGCAAAACCCTGTTTCTACTAAAAATACAAAAATTAGCCCAGTGTGATGGCAGGCACCTGTAATCCCAAACACTAGGCAGGCTGACGCAGAAGAATCGCTTGAACCTGGTAGGTAGAGGTTGCAGTGAGCCAAGATCATGCCACTGCATTTCAGCCTGGGTGACAGAGCAAGACACTGTCTCCAAAAAACAAACAAATCAAAAAAACACCGCAAAAACCCAAATACAAAAAAAAAAAAAAAAGACTTGGGGTCAAAGGATAAACTAATCTCTATATGCTGAAATTCTAATGCCAAGGGAGACAAGTTTAGCACAGTTTGATATTAACGCTTATTCAGTGAGAACTGAACTCGAAACAACTTTGTCCCTGTAAGCATGCCTGAGAAAATTAGGCTGGCAGTGAAAGAAATTTCTTGGTTAAATCTGGCCAAGAACGACAAAACCATGTGAAAGGTTCTTGCCCATAGTCGCTGTGAATGGGAACTAGGTAAATGAATTCAGCAACTGGGATCCTGATGTACTGGCTGCATGTTGATTATATTCACAATTAGAAGGCAGGGACATTTTTATTTGAGAGTTCATGGCAATAACTGGTACTTTTAAACACTGGAGCTCTCAGAGACCCAAGGGTACACAAGACACTTCCAGGTCTGGGAAGTTTGCTTGGCTTTTGCACCCATAATTCAGCCTTGTCCAGCAAGAATCTCATTCTGATTCTAACCTAGTAAGGCGGTCTTCTCCCTGATCCTGCCCTCTGAACAGGCTTGTTCTTAAATCAAGTGCCCTGTTTTCTTTTTTCTAATGAAAAAAAAACCCAAAAAAACAAAAAAACAGTACATAGGTCTATTCACATTCATTCATCTCACCCCTGATTAAAGTTCAGTAACCTTTATGAAAGGCCACCAGCATAACGTTCTTTCAAGTCACCAGGTATTTGAGAACCACCAAAATAAAGGCTAACATAGCCTACTGTAATGAAAATCAAAAGTCATTCTAAAAGGGAAACTGAAGGATGCAACCAGGATTGATCCTTCTTTGAGCACCATTTGTAACAAGAAGAAATTAAACTGTAATGCACATAAAATTCCAGTAATGAGCTTTCCCTTTTTTCTGAAGAGTCTGTCTGACAATGTGCTGATACGACCAGGCAGGCCCACCTAGCTATGCTGTCTTTTGTGGTATGACTATCGTGATTATTTCAAGGGTTTTTCTCTATAGTCTCAATTTTGAGCACTTTGCTAGCTTCAACAAAGGTGATATTAATGTATTTGTAAGCTTTAATATTTATAACCTTTCATATAAATAAATACACAGCTTTTTAAAGATTACTTTTAAGATCCTGCGTCTTAATGTGGAGCTCAGAAAAGATGCTGTGTGGAAATCCTTAAGTGGCTGAGTTCTCTTTGGAGTTTCTGTGTGTAATTCATTACGCAGTTGGCACTGTACTCTCGGCCGTTGGCTTCTCTCCAACGCAGCACATGTTGGCCCACTTAGGGACCCCCTGTTATCATTAAAGTTTGACCAGGAGATAACTCCTGACACCCTACAGAGATGGCTATGATTTGCCAACTTGTGGCAATGCAGTACAGCTCTTTCCTAACTGAATTAAAATTACGTATCACTGCTGGGCTTCACTGATTTGTTAAGCATTGTTTTGTTCCCAGCTGTATATTCCAAATGGGAGAAGAACACGCTAGCTCACATCTCGAAGAGATTTGCTCAGAGAATGACATAAAATGAAACTGTGGAGATTTAAAGTAGATGAAAGCTGTGCCATATCCTGTTCTTATAATTACTATTTTCCTTCATATAACACATGTTTGTGAGAGGCTATGTGTCCTATGAACTTGGTGACAGGTCAGTCTGGCAAAGCAGGTCCTTGAATCCACTCATATGACAGACTGGTACAATTAGGGACATTGCTTTGCAAGCCAATATGACCACCTAAGTTTCAAGTTGGTTTGGGGGTCATTGAACAATTGAACAAAAAAAAAATATTGCATTTATTTTTTGTAAAGGAGAAAGATACAAGAATAATTTGCCAATCCTGAAAAACTTAATTTAAATACAAATTTGCAAAGGCCAAATGAGTAAGGCTTAATTGCTAACCCTTTAACTTGCTGAGAAGTGCAGCTTCAATGACACAAAACCTATTAGACCAAACGTTTTATAGAAAGACACAAGTGCAAGTACCATGGACTTAAGAATTATTTTTCAACAAATGCATAAGAGATAATCACGTTTACTTAGGGGAAAATGTGACATGTTTGAGAATGGACTATGGATAGGTCCAATAAGATGACACAGGTATTTAGGGAGCTGTTCTGAGTCATGAGGCTGCAGAGAAAAGCCTCTCTTTAATTGAACTTCACTGCCTATGCACCTCTCAACACAGTATCTACTCCTTGTTCTGCAGCTAGGTAGCCTATTGTATCACCTCTCTGGACCTCTGCAAACACTTTCACTCCTGTTTACCACACCATCCCCGTGCTATCATTGCAAGTTCCTCTTCTTCTCCCAGATGTCTACAAAGAAAGGATGAGGTGAAGTCCACTGGACTTATGGTTTCCACTGACCTAAGACGGCCACTTGAAGTTATCAGAACATCATTTGCTGATGAACTTTCCTTCTTAACTAAAAATAAAAAGAAACATGAAATGTATGAGAGTTTGAGGGAGGAAGTCTAAAGTGCTTACTGTTTATTCTGTATAGTAAGTGGTAAAACTCAATAATGTCTTTCTCTTCCCTGTTTTCTCTGGCCTCTTCCATGTAGAAGGCATTTAATATCAGAAGTCTTTGTTTTTTCATAACAGGGATATGGTTTTTTTTTTTTTTCTAATTTATACTTGGAATTTAACAATAATCATAAGCCCAAGATAGCATTTTCAGGGATAGAAATGTTCTTTTCTAGCAAGAAGCATAACTAAACTTCTCCACAGATTTAAAAATTAAAAGTAAATGAAACTGTATTCACATTTGTTTTTGATTACTTTGTTTGCCAGATTCTTGCTCAAAACCACGTTTGACCAAAAATGGCATTAGGGTCCCAATGGTGAGACTGAAAGTCAGTTACTTTGCAGCAATCCTCTTGTTCATTGGTATGAATTTCCACCTTATTACCCCTTTTTCTTTCTCAACAGAGAAACGTCTGAAACTTGAGATTTTCACAAACATTAAAAAGCTCATCTTGTAAATAATGTTCTCCCCAATATACTCATCCTTCCTTGGCTTCAAAACCAAAGCTTCTTCCCAGTGCTATGCACTTAGGTCAGTGGTTGAATCTATGACTGTGGCCACGCCCCTGCAAGCATTGGGTTACTGTTGTGGGTCTGTATTTCCATCTCGCTAACATGCTGGTGGGTTATCCAGATGGTTCTTTGTGCAAACTGAACATTTCTTAATTATACTAGTGTTTTCTTGGTACTAATTCCCCCCACCCCCCCAATGAAAAATGGTTATCATACGTATCTATCCCAAACATAGAATTTTCAGTTAGAACTGCCTACCTGGAAGTCGTAATACTTTCTTTCATGCAGCGACATTTTAGAATTAAAAGTTCAAGTGGATTTGAAGATTCAAAGTGGAAAATAATTTTCACTGGCAAAGTTGCAGAATGAAGTTACAACTTATGCTCAGTTGTTTCTTGATAATGGGTAGAGTGACTTATTGTGTTTTCCATGAAGTTTGAAGTTTTGAAACTGCAGGACACCCTACGTGGCCATGACAATGATGTCTGTGGGAAGAGGAATAGCAGCTTTGAAATATTCACAACCAACACAATTTTGATTAAACAAAGAACTCTGGTTTTTAATAGTTTTGATCATTAAAAAAGTTTAAACCTGCATAGCAATCATTTCAAAAATAATTATTTAATGTTCCATAATTAAACTGTACACAACCTAGTCTTGGGACACAGAAGCCAGTGAGGTGAGTTTGGAGCAGTCCAGTGCAGTCCCAGGAGCCAGGAGTTGAGTTCTCATTGGTCTTCTTTTTTTTTTTTTTTGTTTTGTCATTCTGTTCATCTAAGTTTTTGGATAGTTGGCACAATCTGGCTCTGCTGATGAGTGGATCTGCACTGGGAAGAGAGAGCAGCTTGACCCCAGTCCCTTCTCGCTTCCCCTCCCCCACTCGGCCGTATTCCTCAAAGTCGCTCAATGTCTCGGTATTTCTTCCTCAAAATAGAGACCTGGTCTTTAAAAAGGACGGGGTCGAGCCTCATCTGAGAGTGGATCAGCGGCATGTAGCCAAACCAGCTGGCAAACGTATTCATGCAGCTCTGTCGCTGGGCAAAGTGGTCAGGGTCAGCCCAACGGGAAGCCCGAGAAGTCTAGGGAGAAGGAGAGAAACAAGGACGATGATGAGAGAAGTGCAAGGTGAGATGGAAACATTGCAGAAAATGGAGTCGGGCAAATGAGCGAGCAGCAGAGCTCGGGGTCTGGTCCAGCCACCGCGCCTCACCGTCTATGAACCTGGTGACAGTGCAATCACTGATGCTGGTTTTTCAGAAGGTATGCTGTGTTCTTCAGTGTTAAAAACACAAAAAGATTCATGTTGACTTTAATTCTCCAAAATTAATTGAGTAATTCTCTGGTCCGTCCATGACTTAGCAACTGAACCTCAATTATGACAGTTACTCCATCTAAAACTTCTCTTTGTACTAGGGACCAAGTACTAAGATAATGTGTTGGTGGTTTCAATGTTTGTTTTCTAAACTCTTCTTGTTTATGTAGTTGATTTAGAAATAACAATAATCAACTTTTAGAAGTCTATTTTTCTCACTATCCATCACTTCCTCCCTTCTACTGTCTCTTCCCTTTATAAGGGTCCTACTGAATACTTTGTTAAAAATTCACATATATAGTTGAAGAACAAAAAAGCACCTTTTACACTTCACTCAAGGCTAGTGTTATGCAGCATCTAAAAATTGATTTTCTCTTCTGTAGCTTCCCACTGAAGTGACTTCATGAGGATGAGAAGGGGAAATTCAGTGGCATATAGGGCAGGTTGCTATAACTCTAATTTATACTAAAATCTCGAAATTCTGTTTTTAACCCAAGAATTGTTGGCTTTCCTACTCAACTAAAACCCCCAAAGATTACTTTTTAAAGAGCAATCAGCCCTCCAAAGAATCACTGCTCACCCAGAGGAGAAAAAAGGTTAACTCTCGATAATAGAAAAGATGGCTAACATCTTTTTAGCTCCCTGTGTGGCCCCTAAAGTTGGTTAAATATTTTTAGATCATGCAAATGATTGGCATTGATTTAAAAAGAATGCCTCAAATGACTGCAGTGCTGAAATTTAAACAGAATGACTAAGCACACTGTACTTAAATCCCTGCTTTTATGAAATATGGAAAAGATGGGCTGCCCAATTATGGGGACAAAAAGCCCACAAACCCATTTATGTCAACAGGCAAGTCTTTAATGATGTATATGGATGCATGCATATGTGTTCAATGTGTTTGTTGTGCTCATATTGTTAGAAAAATACTTCCATGGGAAGATACATTTTAGTGTGAGAATCAGTAAGAGTCACTTTAAAACCAAAGTGTCAACATGCTCGAAAATAACATTGAAGATAAACACAAATGTCAAGTTATCTCTGAACAGCAGAATGACAAACAAAACACTATTTGTAAAGTGTTTTCATGGAGTTCATTTGAATTTCACAACAATCTTGTGAAGTATCTACCCAGGTAATAACATCCCTATTTTATAGCTGAGGAAGCAAGTTCAAGGAAGTTACAGTTTTTTGTTCAAGGCTAGAGAGGGGTAGAACTCACACTTCGCTCTTTAGCATTTATATGAGGAGAACTCTACTTGAAAAATCAGAGAAAGATATCAAGTGGAGCTGACTGGTTGGGTTCCTATCAGAGTAGACAGTCCCAAAGGTAACTTGTATTGACCCTAAATGGATATGGGTTTGCAGATTTTTTTTTTTTTTTTTAGGCAGAGTCTCGCTCTGTCACCCAGGCTGGAGTATGGTGGCGTGATCTTGGCTCACTGCAACCTCCACCACGTGGGTTCAAGCGATTCTTATGCCTCAGCCTCCCAAGCAGCTAGGATTACAGGTGCACACCACCATGCATGGCTAATTTTTGTATTTTTAGTAGAGATGGGTTTTGCCATTTTTCCCAGGCTGGTTCCAAACTCCTGAGCTCGAGCAATCTGCCTGCCTTTGCCTCCCAGAATGCTGGGATTACAGCATGAGCCACTGTGCCCGAACTTTGGACCATTTTTGATTGGCCCACTCATTCCCAAAGGGTGCTATACCCAGGCAAAGATACTCATATATGCAACTGAGAAATCCTGGTTAAAGTTTAAGCTCATTCTTATTCACATTTTTTTAAAGTTTAGTTGATTCATTCAGATATCATTTTGCTTCTAGATGTTAACATTTATTTTGAGTCAACCAACATCTATTAGAAAAGATGTCTTTCTTATGTAATAAAAGCCTACTCCTAGAGGATGATATCCATTTACCTTACGGTCACACAAACATTCAATAAATTAATGTGTATGATGGAAAGAAGGGGGCAAATATAGTACCCGAATATACCTAGTTAGACCTAAGGTTAAATTTAGATGTTTCTGTAGAGATGTATGAAATTACTAGAAATACTGTTTGGTAGAATTAGGCCAATCTATGAAAAGAGGACAAATCCAACCCCTAAGAAGCATTGTATGATTAGAGTTCCCACTCAGTGAGTGTTCTGAAGAACTCTGAGTAAAAAAATATTTTTAAAATGTCACGTCCTTAAATGAGATAATACACAGTCATGCACCACATAATCACACTTCAGTGTTGAACCACATAGATGACTATGGTCCCATATGATTGTAATACCATATTTTTATTGTACCTTTTCCATATTTAGAAATACTTAGATACAGAATATTTATCGCTGTGCTACAACTGCCTACAGTATTCAGTACAGCCACATGCTGTAGCCTAGGAGCAATAGGCTATTCCACATAGCCTAGGTGTATAGCAGGCTCTACCATCCAGGGCTGTGTAAGTACGCTTAATAATGTTTGGATAATGACAAAATCACCAAATGATGCATTTCTCAGAATGCATCCTCCTCCTTATGAGATAAATAAAAATGTAAATACAAATGTTTGGGCACATAATAGACAATACATCTTGCTTGAAGTTGAATAGTCTCTCAGCCTTAAAAATTCTTACAAATCCTCTCATCCGTTCTTTCAGTAATTAGAAGGAAGCAGAATTTTCCACCAGACTCTGCTACAGCCATTTCGTCATAACCAATACCTAGAACAGTGCCTGAAAACATGCTCGGTGAGTACTAAATTAACTTTTTATAAACTTCAAATTCTTTATAAACTTGAAATTTTTGCTTACTAAATTTAGTGAATAAAAACTTTCAGCTTAACATGAGGCCTAGCTAAGATTTCCTTTGCAAAAGCTAGATTTGTATGTGTTTTCCAATACCTGTCAGAATAAGGCACATGCAACCCCCTCAAAATTAAACTGATATAAACATGTTAAAGTACGTTCATTCAGATTGACCTCAATCCTGCTGGATGCTCCTAACATGGGTGAATCTTAATGCTCTTTCTTAAGGTTTTTTCTTTCTTTTTCTGAGACAGAGCCTTGTTCTGTTGCACAGGCTGGGGTGCAGTGGCATGATCTCAACTCACTGCAACCTTTGCCTCCTAGGTTCGAGCGATTCTTGTGCCTCAGCCACCCAAGTAAGCTGGGATTACAGGCATGCGCCACCATACCCAGTTAATTTTTTGTAGTTTTAGTAGAGATGGGGTTTCGACATGTTGGCAAGGATGGTCTCAAACTCCTGGCCTCAAGTGATCCACCCAACTCGGCCTCCCAAAGTACTGGGATTATAGGTATGAGACACTGCACATGGCCAGGGTTTTCAATTTCTTACATACAGTAGTGGCTCTGCTCAAGATGAATAAAGATAGATGAAATTCAGCATATCCAAATGGGCCTGATCCCAAGACAATAGGGTATATAAGGATAAGCACTGGAATCCACAGACCCTGGGATTCAATTCCCAGTTCTGTCTCTAACTTACTGGGCAACTTGTGGCAATATGTTTAAATTCACTAGTTTTCTTACTTGTAAAAAGAAAATGTTGGATTCCATTTCCTTGAAAATATCTTTAATATTAAATTTTTTTTTTTTTTTTTTTTTTTTTGAGACAGAGTTTCATTCTTGTTACCCAGGCTGGAGTGCAATGGCGCGATCTCGGCTCACCGCAACCTCCGCCTCCTAGGTTCAAGCAATTCTCCTGCCTCAGCCTCCTGAGTAGCTGGGATTACAGGCATGCACCACCATGCCCAGCTAATTTTTTGTAGTTTTAGTAGAGACGGGGTTTCACCATGTTGACCAGGATGGTCTCGATCTTTTGACCTCGTGATCCACCCGCCTCGGCCTCCCAAAGTGCTGGGATTACAGGCGTGAGCCACCACGCCCGGCCAATATTAAAATTTTATAACTCAACACAATATTTTACTTCACTTTTATAAAAGCTTTCACACATATTATCTCAACCCTGTGAGATGATAGATTTCACAATTTTCATGTTAAAGATGAGCCAATTGAATTTCAGAAGGTACCTGACTTGTCTGCAGCTGTAAGTGCTGATTTTAGAACTGAAAATTTAGTATTGTGACTCTTCCTATGTCACCAAGACACAATTCAATTCAACTGCAAGACCAGAAAACTGTTAGAGTATTGGTTGCTAGTCATTAAATAAAGTACCTACAATCAACTTTCATAAGTTATTTGTAGGGCTTTAATTCTGCTGAGGGCTGAATGTTTGTGCCCCCTAAAATTTATATGTTGAAGCTTACTTCTCAATGTGACGATATTTGCAGGTGAGGCCTCTGTGGGACAATTAGGTCATGAGGGTGGAGTAGTCACAAATGGGAGCTATGCTTTTATAAAAGAGACCCCAGAGAATTCTCTTGCCCTTGTTTCTGCCACGTGAAGACACAATGAGCAGAGGTCTGTTATGAATCAGGAAGCAGTCCCTTGCCAGACATCAAATCTGCTAGTGCCTTCATCTATGAAAAATAAATCTGTTATTTAAGCCACCCAGCCAATGGTATTTTTGTCATAGCAGCCCAAAGGGACTAAGACAAACTCTAAAGGTATATCTTTCTCATGTCACCTTAAAGATTATGGGAGAGCTTTATTTCCTTGGCATAAAGATACTCTTAGCTTGTGTCTTCCTAATTATCCATGTGCCAATCATACACTCTTTCCAAGCTTTCGGATGTGGTTCATTTCTTGTTTCTCCTCATTATATGCTCGTGGGTGGAACGCCTAGAGGAACATGAGTCCTCATGACCTGGGGCTGAACCACCAGTGAGTGAAAGCAAGGGAAGAGGGCTCCTCTACACTTACCTGTCCCATCATTGTCTCCTTATACTGCTTCTTCTGGGTCACTTTGATTGGAGGCAGTTTTGTCACAGCAGACACCAGGAAGTTCATGAGAATGTCCTCACAATTGGCCAGTTGGTCCACCATGTTCTTCAGGCTGGCTGGCAGGTAATGGGAGTACAGGTAGTGATAATATCTGTAAAAATCAAAGATGGGTTTCACAGGGGGCCATTATCACATGGTGACAAGTGAACTTTGGAGACAGAAAACACATACTCATTCTTTGAATCCCTTAATATGTCATCAATGGTGATGACAATGATGATGGGGATGATAATAACTATCACTTCTATGGTGCTTGTTATGTACCAGATAGTGTTCTCAAGTGTTTTACAAGAAATGCTTCATCTAGTCTTCATAAGGAACCTACAAGGCAGGTTCTATTATTACTCCCATTTTACGAATGAGGAAACAAGGCACAGAGATACAGACATTGCTTGCCCAGTCTAACTCTAATATCAGACTGGTCAGTTAGAAAGAAAAAGAAAACCTAATTACTTAGATGGAAAGAGAAGTTACTTACACATAATCATTGGCTTAATCAGAACTGTAGTCAATATTATCCCTTGATTCTGAGTGTAACAATAGACTGTTCTATATTTGTGCACTATAAATCATATATATTTCAATCCTGTTAGAGCAAAATCTGAATTAATGGGGTGGTCAATCATTAATAGAAAACCCACAATTAATTTGAATTATTTCTCATCCTACTATTTTAAAAATGTATTTATATACATATAGCATATATTTATAGGGAAAATCATTTGAGTGAATCAGATTCTTTGAGTGGTGATGGCAGGAGCAACAGGAACAAATAACTTTCAAGAAGTGAAATCTTAAGATCAAGAATCAGTCGGCCCAAATGTTTATGCCCTCGACATTTCCAAGCTATCCCTGAGATAGCAAAATTCCCTATTCATTATTTTAAAAGATTAAGGCAAGATTCGTGTGTTCACCTTTACTATGAGAGAAAAGTGGGGATTTTGTTGCTGGTTGAGTGGGGAATGTTAGCTATCTACACTCACTAGTTTGGGAATCTTATTTGGTCTTTGGCTTTAAAGACCAAATATATGCAAACAACTGCCAAATTTGTATCTCCACCTCTGAGCTTTTTCCATATATCCTTTTGGATGTCTTAACATGTCCAAGACTGAACTCCTATATTTTCCCTGATATTTGTTCCATCTGTAGCTTTCCTCACCTCTGTTGATCAGCACTCTAATCTTGCAGTGCCTCAGGTCAAAAGACCTGGAGTCATCAAACTCTACATCCAGACTGTCCAGGCACTATGCTAAAGCATCTTCAAAACATGTCCACAATCTGATCACTATTTACCACGACCACCATTCACTTTCTGATCCATGGTCCCACCATCTCTTGCCTAGACAACGTTACTCATCTCCTAATAGGGCTTCCTCCTTGAACTCTGGGTCCCTTATAGCCTCTTTTCAATATAACATCCAAAGTGGATGCATAAAAGAAAAGCTGGATTTCTCCCTCCTGTTCCAACCCTGCCCTCCTCCCATGTCTCTCAGAGAAAAAGTCAAGTCCTCATGATAGACATCAAGGTCCTGCATCCATGCCTCATAACTTTTCTGACTTGCTGTCATTCATTCCACCCAGTCACAGTGGTCTTCTCAATGTTTCTCCAGTATTCTGCCTCAGGGCATTTATTCTAGCTGTTCTCCTGCCAGAACACTCTTGCTGCACTTACCCGCTTAGCTAACTTCCTCTCCACGTCTCCACTCAAATCTCACCCTATCAATCAGAATCACCCTGGACACCCCCAACTGCCTCATCTCCACCTTCAGCACTCCTGATCCCTTTTCCTACTTTGTCTTTTTGTTATATCACTTATCTCCTTAATAAACTACATAATTATTATGTAGACTGTGTCTTTCTTTGTTAGAGTATAAGAATGGCATTGGCAAGGAATTTTTTTCTGTTTTACTCAATGATGAATCTCAAGCACCTATAACAGTGCCCTTGGGTACTGACTTAGGTATTTACTTTTATTGTTGTTATTCTACATATGCAGTTACCTAATATGCCCTGAGTGTATTTTCACAATTCACAGCAACTGAAAATGTCACGCTACCATAATTTCTGGAAATGAAATATGCCAAGAGGTTTCACTGGTTTCAAAAACACACATTTAACATATCAGAAAAACTTAAGCAGGGATACAGACTAATTTTCATTAATGCTCTTAACAAGATTTGGCCTAAGTTCCTATTTATGCAGCCACCAATATAAAAAGTTTTGTAAAGTCTGTCAGAGAGATGTCCAGATTACTCACTTGTGGTAAATAGCAGCTCCTGTCAACACCATGGAGTAGTCGTTCGTCCACTTTGATGTGTATCCCCATCGCTCTTTAGAGTTATCCCAGAAGTGGCTGCGCGCGGGGTACCCCACAATCCTCTCAGGGAAGCTCTGCCACACCGTGAAGGCGAAATCCACCTGCAGGCAGAACACAAGCCAAACAAGCAATCAACAGCGTTAGCAAATGTCAACAAAAACATTACCTTCTCCCTGCTAATTCATAATGCAAAATCCCGAGACTGTGGTGAAACATTAATTCTATGTATTCATCAGCAAATTAAACTGACTGCTTGACATTTTGCCCCATAATTATGCACATTTTAATGTTTTCTGTTAAAGAAATTTCAGATTAGTGTGGAAATGAAAGGAAGGAAAAACATTTGCTGATATGCCCTTTAAAAATTCAGTCTGTTCCAGCTAAGACATAAGTTGAAAAAGCAGTTGCTTCTCTTCCCCCTCCCACAAAGGTACGCGTGACTTGATTCACATGAGACACAAACATATCTTTTTTATACATGAGAAATTTCCCATGTATATCCAAAGAATGAATATACAGCATATATCATACCCAGCATATATCAAAGCCACAGTGTCTAAAATAAAAGCACTCTCTCAAGAGTAAGATAAATTACTTTTTAAAAAAACACAAGTTCTAAAAGGAATACAGAGCAGATATCATAAAGGAAACATAATTCAGGCCTCTTAGGTTTGAAGATGCACAGTTTAAGAGAAACTAGAAGAAAGTATCCACAGTGAAATTCAAGTTCACTAAGAAAGAATAAGTGGGGACAAGGCCAACTGAAGCCACAGGATTATTTTAAAGGAAATACAGCCAAATGTCTTTCCAGTGCTTATAACAGCCTAAAGCAAGTACTTCTGAACCTGCTATAAACCAGCATTTATAGTTAGCAAATGCTCTGTTTTCAAATGCAAAAATCACTTCTGATTTCTATGATCATTTGATGGGTGGTAAATCAGAATAATAAACAGAAAATAGGCTGGGCGAGGTGGCTCATGTCTGTAATCCAGCACTTTCGGAGGCTGAGGCGGGCAGATCATGTGACATCAGGAGTTCGAGACCAACCTGACCAACATGGAGAAACCCTGTCTCTATTAAAAATACAAAAAAAAATTAGCCAGATGTGGTGGCGCATGCCTGTAATCCCAGCTACTCGGGAGGCTGAGGCAGGAGAATCACTTGAACCTGGGAGGCGGAGGTTGCGGTGAGGTGAGATCATGCCATTGTACTCCAGCCTGGGCAACAAGAGCGAAACTCCGTCTCAAAATAAAAAAATTTAAAAAATAAATAGAAAATAGTAACAGCAAACAATCATATAATGCTCATAATTGTGAAATTATGAGCACAATAATTTGTGCAATGGTGCAGTTATAGGTGCTTGTGCATTTTAATTCTTTCCATCGTCACAACACCCCTGTGAGGTAGTGGCTTTTACATTCTTCACTTTACAGAAAGGGAAACTAAGATATATTAAAAGTTCAAGTCATTTTCTAAGCTAGGAAGTGGCAGAGCCAAGATTCCAACTCAGGCAGTCTGGTTTCAAATGGATCATGTATGGTATCATAACTTCTCTTTCGGCTCTGTTACTCCAGTGTTAAATTTGTCTCTTATACAGGTTATGATTCACCTCGCAATCTTTGCCCTATCTCTTCTTGATAAGCAATACAAATTGGAAATGTCATCTGTTTTGCAAATACTTTGAGTCTTGGCACTGTGATGGTAGCTATAGGACTGAGTGATGCTGCTAAGTCCAAGTCCTGCCCTCTCAGAGGTTCAAAAGCAGGACCTGCGATGGTTAATTGTGTCAATGTGACTACACCATGAGGTGCCCAGATTAAAGATGACTTCTGGGTATGTCTGTAAGGGTGTTTCTGGATGAAATTAACATTGGAATCTGTGGGTTCAGAAAAGCAGACTGACCTCGCCAATGCAGATGGGCAATATTCAGTCAGCTCAGGGCCTGAATACAAAACAAACATGAAGGAAGGAGGAATTCACCCCCTTTTTCTTTTTGCCTGCTGGCTGAGCTGGGACATCAAACTTCTATTGCCCTTGGACGGGGATTTACAGCATTAGCCCTCTGGTTCTCAGGCTGTAGAAGTCTGTCTAGAATTATATCAGTAGCTTTCCTGGGTCTCCAGCCTGCAGATGGCACATTGTGGGATTTTCCCAGCCTCCAGAATTGTTTGAGCCAATTCCTCATAATAAATCTATCAGTGTATGTATGTATGTATGTGTATGTATATACATATATATTCAATATATATATTCATCCCCTATTGATTCTGTTTCCCTGAAAAATCCTAATATACTGCCCTCTCTTAAGATAAAGAAGAATTAAAAATATGGCTTGTCCCCCAAATATAATATCCAGATGGGGCCGGGCACAGTGGCTCACACCTGTAATCCCAGCACTTTGGGAGGCTGAGGTGGGTGGACCACTTAAGGTCAGAAGTTTAAGTCCAGCTTAGCCAACATGGTGAAACCCTGTCTCCACTAAAAGTATATTGGCTGGAAGTGGTGTTGCAGGCCTGTAATTCCATCTACTGGGAAGACTGAGGCACAAGAATTGCTTGAACCCAGAGGTGGAGATTGCAGTTGGCCAAGACGGTGCCACTGCCCTCTATCCTGGGCGACAAAGCAAGACTCCATCTCAAAAAAAAAAAAAAAAAAGAAAAAAGAAAAACCCCAAAAATCCAGAGCGGGTGGGGGTGGGGTGGAGTGGGGTGAGGGAATTCCAGAGGTGAGCAAAAACAACCCAGGGTGGTGGAACCGACATTAAGAAAGCTTGGCAGGGAGCACGTCATCTCAAAGTTGAAAGACAGCAGGGGATGGAGAACACTCGCCAGAAAATTGAAATCAGGTTGTGATAACCTACACCTTTTCACTGGCAGTCAATATTAATGGTGCCAAATGATGGGATAGCATATTATGCAGCCTATTGTCAAAGAATCAGCCTGGCTGTCAGCACTCTTTGGGGCTTTCCATTATTCTTTGAAAAGGAAACACATGCACTAGCAACTACTACAGAACCCAATGGGCGTTCTCATCACATGAATTTCTTACTATCTTAAAGCTGTTTCAAGTCATTTCAAAGGAACTCAAAAGTAAATTCAGATAAAACTATGATTCTTGTGATAGCTCTGCTTTCATGCAGATTATTAACACATCAAAGAAGGCAAAGGTCAGTTTAAGGCCCTTTCTCTCAAAAACCAACATCTGTTTTCTTTTGTGCAGTGTTTGCAGCAATCCAGATCAATATAAATAACTATAAACCATCTATAATGCCCTTTATAGGATGCTGTTTAAAAATCTATCCTTAATGCTGCAGAGAGACATTTAAACAATCTAAGATCCTTAGGAAAAAAAGTGAACCAAAATCTATTCACCTAAAAAAAGAGAAATGAGAAATCCTTGCCCAGGACCATTTTAGGCAACACAACCACTCCACTGATCAGCAGGCAAAAGCAAACCAGACTGCCAGCCTCTTAGATTTACATATCATTTTCAACCCACGTTGACTTCTAATTACTTCACATACAACACATGTTCCTCCCAGCATGCGATGAGTGGTTGGAACTGCTATTCTTTGAAAAGAAATTCACCAGCATGAGGATCCATCATAGCAGTTGCAAGTTATTTCACCATGGGATAGGGAAAAACAAATCCTGGAGTGAGACTAATTGCCTTGTGCCCCGGGGAAGAGAGAAGATGAATCAATACTGCAGGTCACAGGATGACAAATGTCTTGACCATTTGTTGCCCCAGGGCAGTGTGATGCTTTGCCTGTGTCTGCCCTCTAAAATCCACTGTCCACTCTTCTTGTCCTGCCCTGTGCCCTCGGATGATGGACCCCAATGAGCTGCATCACCTGGTCAGGTTAGGTCAATGGGAGTCACCAGCAGGAAAATTGAGGCAGGACAGAGAAACGGGTCAGTGTATCTCTTCTCTGTTCCCTCTATCCTTTGCCACTAGAGTTCTGGCAGTAGCCAGGTCCTTCCATGATCATAGCACTCGTAGAACACTCTCTTCTTCCTAGTGCCCTCTCTCAGGGCCTTTGGGAGAAGGAGTTCCTTCTCTCCTTCAGGCCAAGGGGAGGAGCTGCTTTCTGCTATCATTGCTCACCAGGTACTTCATCTTTTCTTATGGGGTCTTTTAACCCCATCTGTACCTCCCTAAGTAATCCCAAGTTCCTTCGTCTGAATCATCTGATTTAAATTCAGTTTGTTGCCAGGACTCGGATGTAAGCTGGAAATGTGTAACTGAAGTATCTGGCATGGAGACCAGGACAAAGAAATCTCTCAATAAATACCTGATGAATGAATGTGCTCCAGCTTCCCCTGCAGAAAGCGGCAGAAAATATGCAAGCTGGAGCGATCTGTACCCTGTATTCCATAGCTGCCTTTCCCTTTAAATGTTAAATTTATCAACATCCCTTCCTCCTGCCAACCTACATATGATACAATTGGCAGTGTGTCCACCTTTAATCCTCAAAACCCGCAACGCCCCACCCTGCGCAACCACTCATTCAACAAGTATTTATAGAGCTTCGGCTGCATAGAAAGCATTTTAACAAGGTGAGGCCCAGGACATTTTGTCCTGGGATAGGTTGCCCTGGCATCTAACATCTGATGGCAATCGAAAACATCTATGGAATTTCAAGAAGGAGATACTGAGTTCACCAGCCTAGGCCAACATCCAGTCCTGGCTCTGTGGGCAGCAGGCCATTAGAACCAGACTGGTGTCCAGGAAAGTGCAGGTTAGTAAGTGCCGATGTTGACATTAAAAGAAAAATGATTGCGAACACAAAGTAAAAAAGAAGGGGAGGGGAAAGGTATAAGTAGTTGCGTCTCCATGCTTTTTAGTTGTTGCCATTAATAATGTATTTCTCGTACACTCCATTTTTATATAGCTGTCTTTGGTCCCCTGCATGGTTTAAAGGAAGGTTTCAGAGATCAATACTCATTCGAGTTGTAAAAATTGGTTTTCTACCGTATCTATCTTTCCTCCTCTCTCTCTCCTCCGCGTACATTCTCTGGGCAATCTTATTTTTGGCACAAATACCTGAACATCTGAAATAGGAATCTCCATCACAGCCTTAAAGTGAAACCATTTGCTCTTGTATAGGTGAAAGAAAATGAGCACTTTAAACCATGATAGAAAAAGCTGCCTTTAGAGCCCAAAATAGTGTTCCCTCACTGAGGCTATAGGATATGTGGGGAAGGATGGGATTGTTTCCTCTGGACAGCATGGTTTCAAGATAATGCAGAATAGGCACCCTTTCCCTTCCCCTCAGTTCTGGGCACCTGCCCACAACTGTGCTCTTTAAAAACAAAAAAGGAGGGTAGGCCTAGGAGGAGAGGTGAGGCCCAGTTCTGCAAATGAGGAGCAAATTAGCAGAGACAATGAAGGGGAGATGCTCTCCTCAGAGTGCCAGGTGGCGGCAAGGTGTGAACAGGACTCGGGCTGATTAAAACCAGCACTGTAGGAAGTTGTGAAAAATGTTCTTAACTGCTGCCAAGGCATGACTAAGAGAAGCACTAGCATCGTGCAACTTGGGGCGACTGTCTGAAGAGCCCACCTGACGCTCCTCAGGCATGGGTTCTTACCTCTGTGGTTGAAAGCACGGTGTCCTCATCAAGGCTGAGCACGGCGTCTGTGATGATGTTGTCGTAGGGCAGAAAACGGCTGCTCATAACCTGAGAGGAAGTAGAAGGTAGGCAGTGGGGAGGGAAAGAGGTAACTTCAGTCTTGGTTTCAGGACAATTCTCCCATCCTCATCTGCATAAATCATGTGCTACTGGCCGGCACTTAGTGGCTCATGCCTGTAATCTCAGCACTTTGGGAGACCAAGGCAGGCAGATCACAAGGGAAAGAGATTGAGAATATCCTGGCCAACATGGTCAAACCCTGCCTCTATTAAAAATACAAAAATTAGCTGGGCGTGGTGGTACACACCTGTAGTCCAGCTCCTTGGGAAGCTGAGGCAAGATAATCATTTAAACCCAGGAGGCAGAGGTTGCAGTGAGCTGAGATCACACCACTGCACTTCAGCCTGAGCAACAGAGCAAGACTCTATCTCAAAAAAAAAAAAAAAAAAAGGATGCGCTACTATCATGTCATGTCACCCCTCAACATTGAAGGAATGTTATCTCCTATCAATGCAGATTTATTTGTTTAACAATTATTGGGCACCTACTGTGTACCAGGCATCTTGCTGGTCAAAGAGGGTACACAGATAAATCAGATATATTCCCTGTCTTTGAAGAGTTCGTGGTCTATAGAGGAGACCAAGAAGCAGATGACCAGTCTTTACTTGAATCAAAAAGTGCCAGGAGACCACAGGATGGAGCAACCAGCCGTTTGGAAGATCAGATGAAGGCCTTATAGAAGAAGCGATATTTAAGCAGGACCCTGATGGGCAGAAAGAATTCACCAGGTATAGACAGAAATGAAGCATTAAAGACAGGACTCAGCAGATACAGAGGCAATGAGAAGAGAATCCGCATCCTGACACCCATTCTTCCTGACTGAAAGAGTGAATGGATGGAGCAGTGATTCCAAGTGTGGACACAAACCATGGGGAAAGCAGATCATTGTAGAAGGTGCTGCTTTTACAAATTACAAACATTTGTAAATTATAGTATGTATTAGCACAGATTAGAAAAAAATATACATATATATTAGCAGCTACAGCAATCAAAGGTAATATTAAAGTTACAAATAACTTCACTAAAATGAAAAGTATACTCATTTAAAGAAAAATATTAGGCTGGGCGTAGTGGCTCATGCCGGTAATCCCAGCACTTTGGGAGGCTGAGGTGGGTGGATCACTTGAGGCCAGGAGTTCAAGACCAGCCTGGCCAACATGGTGAAACCTTGTGTCTACTAAAAATACAAAAATTAGCTGGGCGTGGTGCTGCCTGTGGTCCCAGCTACTCAGGAGGCTGAGGCAGGAGAATCACTTGAACCCAGAAGGCAGAGGTTGCCATGAGCTGAGATTGTGCCACTGCATTCCAGCCTAGATGACAGAGCAAGCCTCTGTCTCAAAAAAAAAAAAAAAAAGAAAGAAAAGAAAAGAAAAGAAAAATATTAAACAATAGCACACATGATTGATAGATTTAGAAAAATTGTGAAGGTGGTGTATGCATAAAGTTTAGGCAGTTATAGAATAATGAATGGTGCACTATGTGTGCACACACAGTGGGGGGTGTGTGTGTGTGTGTGTGTGGTGGGGGCTTTGAAGATTATGGCATCAGCTGGTAAAATTGAGGGTGGAGAGGTTACCCTGTAATAGTCACAACTTAAACCTTTGAGTTAAATGTACCATAGAAGAACTAACCATAAGAACTGCTGATACCCTAAGAATAACATTTTCTGTACATTTACCATGTGCCAGGAAATGTTCTAAGTCCTTCATGTACATCATCTTGTTTCATCTTTATAACAACCCCATTTTACAGGGGAGGAAAAGGAGATACACAGGTTAAGTATCTTGCCCAAGATGGACTCAGAATTTTCCCCCAGATGGTGTGACTCTGTGGAGCCCCTTGGCCACTGGGCTGTATCTAAATGGAAAGGACCTCAAAAGTGAATTCAGGAACACATATGCCAATCACATGCTCACCATCTTCTTCTAGAATTTACAGTAATAATGATGACATCCCCTCTGAATTCACACCTGCCATCAACTTTGAAGAGACAAAGGCCAGGGAAAGAATTTAACACTGGAGACAAAGGGAAAGAGGAAAAGGGAGGCTTATTTGCCCATGAAGCTACCAGAGCACCTAGGACTTTAATGAATGGACAGTGTCTGCTCCAACTCAACTCTCAGAGCTCAAGGGACATATCTGTAGCATACTTGGCTTCAGGGGTTGCTCCTACACTATCTGTCAACTGGGTCAGGGTTTTTTCTTTTCTTTTTCTTTCTCAGGCTTTTGAAATAAAACACAAAGTGATCAGCAACCCCATAGACACAGAATGCTCAGAATTCTCAGCCTGAAGCAATCTTCCTGAAAGTGTTTACATGTCCACTAACTAATGCAGAAACCATTAGCTGCCAGCTTAGCACCGCCCTGACCTTTCCCTTGTTAAGACTACAGGGAAAAACTGCAAAGACAAGGCCTATAAATTCAAAACAGAATTTTGCTGCCCAAGCAGCAAACACATTAACTTTAAATTCAAGGCTAGAGATGGAGATTTTTAAATGGAGAGTGAGGAAGATGTAAGACTTCTTCCTCCTCGTCTGCCCAACCACAGGTTTTAAAGGAATCTGTTTCCTTTTCTTCTGAACCTGTTCCATCAACAGAGGTAAAAAGCCTATAAGCCATCTACTTTCAAATTCTCATGCAGAAATGAGAGGCTTTCTTTCAAATATGTTGCCTCCGCGACCTTAAATGGATTAGCATGAGAGGAACCAATGTACAATGTACTTACAAAGTCAATCCTAAGTGAACTGGGTTTTCCTTCTTAGTTCATTTAAGAAAGATTTAGCTACCATATGAAAGCTCAACTCCTTTAAAATTAACAAATATGCTGGTCAGGCATGGTAGCTCACCCCTGTAATCCCAACACTTCGGAAGGCTGAGGCAGGTGAATCACCTGAGGTCAGGAGTTCGAGACCACCCTGACCAACATGAAGACACCCTGTCTCTACTAAAAATCCAAAATTAGCTGGTGGTGGCACATGCCTGTAATCCCAGCTACTTGGGAGGCTGCGGCAGGAGAATCGCCTGAACCTGGGAGGTGGAGGCTGCAGTGAGCCGAGAGATCGTGCCATTGCACTTCAGCGTCTGCAACAAGAGCAAAACTCCATCTCCAAAAAAAAGGCAAAAAAAAAAAATTAACATGCCTAGTAAATGACCAGGATTCAAGAAGTTTACTGTCTTGTGTGGTGTGTGTGTGTGTGTGTGTGCGTGTGGTGGGGGTGGGGAGGAGGGTACATAAGTAATGTACACAATTATAGAAAACAATAATAGGATTTATTGAGCATCCACAGTGTACCCACGCTTCTCAGTACATTTATTTATGTAGTCTCATATTATCTGATCTTTTTGGCTTCCTTATTAGTTATGTATTATTATTCCATTTATTCAAAGGGGGCATCAAGACACAGGTTAAGTAACTTGCTTTAAGTCACACAAAAGTAAGTTTGACTTTAGAGCCCATAATGAAAATCATATGGGATTTTTGGGATGCCTCCCAAAAGAGTAGCTAACATTTATTGAACCTTTGGTGCATATATAATAGGCACAGGACTAAGCACCTGATATGCAATGATCTCATTTAATCCTCAAAATGGGCCCATGTCCTAGCCCAGGTTTCTTGCAATACTGAGCCTGAAGCAAGACTTATGTGCAAATGCTTCACTGGCAGGTGCAATCCCAGGGCACTGAGAGTCAGGGAAAGACACAGGAAGCACCCAGCCCACTGGATTCAGTGCCCAAGGTGGAGGCAAGGACTGAACAAATGCCAGGAACCTGAATATAGATGCAGCTCGGAGGATCTGAGGCATCTTGTAAGAGACATCTGATAAAGCCCACGAGAAAGGTACTATTATTATCACTACCATTTTATAAATAAAGAAATGGGGAGTTTCTTTTCACTGAGAATGAAAATATAAAATCAATCAGTGAGTCAGAGCATGAAAATGCTACACAACCTAAAGAAATCAGAATGGCCCCCAGACAGTTAGACTGGAGTATGTCTGAATATCCTCACATATCCAAAGAAAGACATTTTCCACCAGAAGGAGAGCTGGTCTCCTTGACCCATGGAAGGATACAAAACAAAGAATCCCAAAGCTGAAAGCTAACTGCCTGTATCTGAGCCTTCTCGTGGCTTCACGCATTGGAATTGGGACACTGTCATTCCTATGATGGCTATTTTATGGGGAGGGGGAGGATATAAGGGGTTGCATCAAACCATGCTTATGGTGAGATGGATTTGCGAGGGAGGCATGTGATTATTCCAATATCCACCTTTTCTCATTAAATGCTTACTAAACAGCTCTCAAACAGGTTGCTTGACTCCAGCCTTATGAGTGCCGTGGCTAAATGTGTCACATTCCCCACTGTGTTCCAAGCATGTTACACGGTACTCAGCACACAGTAGACACTCATAAATGGGAACTGAATAGATAATGCACTGATCATCTTGTCCGTATAATGGTTACAATTCTCATTGTATTATGTCAAACCATATGAAATTGCCACTTTTCGTGAGTCGATGATGATATTAAATGGTTCAGCCTAATAAACTGATTTTGTCATTCTGGCGCAAGGTGTGAGCCACTCTCTTATGACCTGACCCTCTGGGAACAGATGAGCAAAGTCTTTTAGATGACACTACTTCACCAATCTCAATTTCACTTAGTAGTGACTGTTTCCTTCACAATGGGTGAGATCTATAAGAAAGCAACAAACAGAAGCTAGAGAAAACAGAGCTGGCTGCTGTTTAGTAGAAGAAATTTCAAGGATGAAGTAGCATCAAACGGAAGCTTTGAGAATATGTGGGAATGTTGACAATCAGAGACAGTGAGTTGAGGGGTGGTCAAGATTTACAAATGGCAAAGTCAAAATCAGAGGGAGGAAGAGACATGGCACAATTCAGGTAATTATAAATGATCAAATGTGGGAGGGGACAGGGTCTGTAGGGGAAAGCAATGAGAGAAAAAATTGGAAGGCTGTCTAGGGCCAGATTATAGACAGCCTCAAATGTCAATTAGAAGCATTAGCAAATGAAGACCTTAAAGGGCCAGGAGATGATCAGAAATACAGTTTAGCTCTACGCAAAGTGAACTGCAGAACAGAAGAGGAGCCAGCTATACAGCAGTTGTGAGAATCTTTACAGGGAGATGCCAAACAAAATTAAGGTGAAAATGTCCTTTTTAAAGTGAATGGGAGAAAGAACCACCATTTTGATTGACATAGCTCAATTCAGATTAACCTCATGCATCCCCACCACCATCAGCTTTATCTTCATCCTTGTCATTTAGGGAAAGACAACTATTGCCAGCAGCAGGCTTTATTTCATCCCAACAGCAACCCTACAAGGTATGTCTTATTTCTATTTTGTAGATGAGGAAACTGAGGCTCATAGAGGTTAAGTATACACACAAGGTCACAAAGCTACAAAAGAGTTGGTATTAAGACCCAGGTTTCCCTGATTTGAAAGCCTATTGCTGTCAAAGCTAAGAATATTCTGAAAAAAGTACAGTTTTAGAATAATCCAGGAACAGGGAGAAAATGTCTAGGGACAAGACCTAAAAGGTCCCGTGGAGAAACAGATTCCATAGTGGCTTCATACATGGATCCCCTTTGAGTCTTACCTTGCTCTCTCCTTCAATGACGATGACAGGCACAGCAGTGGCAGGCCAGCGGTGTTTGGCTGGTAGAGGCTTGTCACAATTCCATAGAACTATGATCTGAAAAGGATGGGTTTATTAGATGGCTGGGGTAGGCTGTATTTATGTAGAAGTCCAACCGAAAGCCTCTTCTTAGAGACAAAGAGAAAGAGGAGCTGGAGATCTCAGCAAGACAGAAAGGCAGACATCAAAACTGAATTTTAAAGTGAGTCCATTCCCACACAACCTCAGAACCTTAACACCCCAACAACTGGAGAGAGGACAGAAAGGATAACAAAAAAACAAAACCTGTGTCTGAGGATAGGGGAAAGCTGCAGGAAAAAGAATTTGAGGGTGGCTGGAGCTTAATAAAGCAGTTTCCTAAATTCTGGTATCTTATGATGGTGTGTGAGATAACAACTCTGATCAAATTAAATAAAAATGTATACTGAGCATCTGAACATCTGCTATGAACTTGCACTACACCAGGCAATGTGGGAGAAATAAAAGAATTCAAGCTAGAACTAGGATGAGCTCATGTTTTGCATTCTCTAGAATGGTTGCTGATTTTATAGACTTTATAATTTCCAATAAAGGCATTTAGTTAAAAAATGCATACTTCCTTATTGAATTCTTTCCTCATTTGTAAACCTTCTTGTATAAATTAATTCGCAAATCAGAAAAACCACTGTTCAAGTATGGGAGCAACACTGATTTGGAAAATATTGTTACCACAGACATAATCATCTGCTCCCAATTTTATAATTAGTCATGGTTACTATGAAAAGTCCGATTCTTCTATTGAAGCTTAGTTGTCTGGGTCCTCCGGCGGCTTCTGGGTTGTCACTTTATCATTTTGATATTTAAAAACAAAATCATATGCTTATATCTTCTTTACAGAATGTGTTGGTGTGTGTATAGATATATTTTTTTAACCCTATACCAGTGCTAAGGTCTTTCTGTAACCCACACCTCCTATGCCAGATTTCACTTCAAAGAATTTCTAAGTAGACGAAAAGGCTGTAACGAGGCAGGGAGAATGAAAGGGAGCAGCAGGGTGATGTTAGCGTCCCGGGGAGCCTGGGGCATAACAGGTAAGGAGAGAGGAGTCTCTGGTCTGGAGCTGGAGCAGGCAGGGGCTGCTCTGTCAACTTCCCACTCACCTGGGCACAGTACTGGGACTTGGCTGCAGCCACAAGAAGCTTCAACACTGGCTGGGACTGAGAGACCAGGGGGGTCACCGCATGGATGACTGCAGTGAATTTGGAGGGGGGCTTTAAACCTGAAATAAAAAGGAGAGCAGAGCCTAATGAAGTGCTGGAAAACATGACTTAGAAAATTACTCCGCCTTGCTCCACTGCCTCACGCCGGAGCAAGTGTTCCCTCCTGGATGATTTCTCCCTTGCTGCTTCTGTCCTGACAGGACAAAAACAAGAGGAAGGCTGCTGGCCAGCTACTGCCTGAGTCTAGAGACCTCAAGAAATTCCAGATCAATGTCCACTTCTAGGTTCTTGCTTTGACGTCTTTTGCCCCTCTTGGTGATGTTTCTGTGATGTTCTTTTGGCTTTTTAGGTACCCGGTGTCTAAATACACACACCACTCACCACCCTTCAGAGTGGTACTACTTCCGGTCACTTGCATCTTATGGATTTAATTAAATGTACTAGCTCTCCCATGGTCTATGCATGTGTCTAATTTTTAATTATGTAATGAAAGGGTTCTGCCTAATAGCATTTCAAATAACTAGCTAGTGGGAAAAAAGGGGAAAGGAACAGCATCCGGGATCTGATTGTTGAGGTCTGAATCCCAGATCAGCTACTTAGTCATGGTAGGACCTTGGAAAGATTACTTAACCCTCTGTTTCCACAGCTGGGAAACCAACCTGACAGTAACAGTGCCAAACTTATGGGATTGCAAAAATTCAGTAAGTTTGGCTGGGTGCCGTGGCTCATGCCTGTGATCCCTGAACTTTGGGAGGCCAAGGCGGACGGATCACTTGAGGCCAAGCAGTTCGAGACTAGCCTGGCCAACCTGGCGAAATCCTGTCTCTAGTAAAATACAAAAATTAGCTGGGCATGGTGGTGTGTGCCTGTAGTCCCAGCTACTCGGGAGGCTGAGGCCGGAGAACTGCTTGAACTCGGGAGGCAGAGGTTGCAGTGAGCCGAGATGGTGCTACTGCACTCCAGCCTGGGCAACATAGCAAGGCTCTGTCTTAGGGAAGAAAAAAAAGTTAATGCATACAAAGCACTTAGAACAGGACTTAGGAAATAACAGTTACTCAATATATGTCAGCAGCTGTCATTATCACCACCCTTACCATCATCATTATTATTTTGGAGAAGAAGCCTCCATACTCCCAGAATCTCTTCTTTCTGTAGCAGTGACATAGCTCAGAAAAAAAGTATGTGATGCAGACGTTTGCCAGTTCCGAGCTCTGAAGCACACTGGGTTAAAAAGGATCATAGCTATGCAAAACAACCACCGTCACCAAAGAGAAGTGACATGGCTTCCCCACAAGGAGTTTTCCCATAAGAACTCACTAAGAAATAATTAGAGACAGGTTAAGAGGCTTTAAAACTTCATCGGTTTAGACCCACTAATTTGGCACTTTAGTGGCTTAACTGTGAACAACACAGTGCAAGGACATTCAAGTTAAGCTTTGATACTGATGGGATAAAGGTTAGAATTAGACTATATGTGTATTACAGGATTAAACAAAGAAGGTTTTGTAGAGAAAATTATATCATCCATCAGTAGCACTTTAATTGTATGTAAGAAACAAGTTAATCTTCCCAATATCTAGATACACATTCAAAGTTTTGCCAAATAAGACAAATAAACGTGTCTGAGGGATTGCTTTTTTAACAGGAATGACAAATCATTGCTTTTAGATTTTCCTGCTTTTAGATTTTAGACGGAGTTAGTTAGCTCTCCTAACTCCATCTTATAGATGATGTGGCTTAAGAAGCATCATTTACACACCTCTAATGTGCTAACTCCAAATGAAGATCTAAATATTGTACAAGAAACATACAGATATTCTTGTCAACCACTGCCTCAATCTGACAATTTCTAAATTCTAAATATGTTACCCAAATGTTGACTATTCGCTGAATTAGAGATGGTTCCCGTAGCAGGCTGGGTTTGAATTAAGAGGTTCTTTGTCAATGGTTGATGCTTTAGGCCATGAATTTCTTTAGGTTTCATCTCCTCAGTTTCAAGCTAAACGTGTACAACTTAAAAGCATGAGGGTATTAAGGAGAGCAACAGCACTGAGTGGAAAATCTTGTCCTTTTGCTGTATCAACTTGGAAGATGCTTTACTGTCTTAGGGTTTCTCAAGTATAGAATTGCAAATGAGGGGAAATGTTCGTGATGTTCATAACATGAGAGGGACTAGGGCTCCAAATATGTGAATGTCTAAGGCAATAACAGTAGCTGGTGTAGAGATTCATCCCTCTGCCATTCCCTTTTCCCTGTTGTGTTTAGACTAAAAACTGTTTGAAAGCAGAGATTGTATCTTATTTGACTTTTTATTTCTGGTACCCAGCAATACATTAGCATAGCACATAAAAGGAGCAGAACAAACTTTGGAAAAGTGAATAAATTTGTGCTTGTCATGCATTCTTAGTTATTTCTCCTTTATTCAGTTTTTCTTTGGTACGAAATAGAGATGTTGGGATTGTGGAAAAAAAATTGGGGACAGCTCTCCTAACTCCATCTTATATATGATGAGGCCTAACATGATAGCTAACCCATTGTCATGATCAAAATGATCCATAATTTGGGGAGCCTATTTCTCAAAAAGAAATAACTCTACTAAATATGAAGCATAGCTGCACAGAAAAAGTTTTTCTTTTCTTTTTTTTTTTTCATCTTGCAATGCTCTGCTCTGTATTTGAACTTGTTATGTCACTTATAACAAGTCTCTAGAAAAAGCAATCTTCATTGCAGGGTGTTAGATGGGTCCCATTAGAATAGAAGAATAAAGGCCCTTAGTTCTGTATGACATCTTGTGGGTAAACAAGGGCAACTTCCTGAAGGAATCTCACGTACCTAAATTAGCATAGTAGTAAGGAAAATCTCCCAGATAAGATGAATACTGTGGTAGTACGAACAATCCTCCAGGATGTTTGTTCCATATTAAACTGTTACGTGATATGTGCTTGAATATTCTGTCCTGAATAATCTAGAAAACAAAAGCATAGCACACAGTTAGGATGAGATCCTGATGATATTTAGAAAGGATAATGTTCAATCCAAATTTGAAAGATGGTGGCACTCAGAGTAGTGACTCTACCCTCCCTCCCACTCTCAATCTCCAGATAAAAATGTCTACGAGACAGAGAGAATAATGGAGCAATGAAAAAGAGTAAGAGAAAGATATGAATTATAGCCAATCAAATTTCCTAATTAAACTCCAGTTAAACCATAAATTCTATCTTGTCTTTGTATAATAATGAGTCCATGCCCATTCCAAAACAGACTGTGTGCAACAGTTAGTCTTTCCCTGATGGTTAAGCATCTAAGAACTGGTCCCAGGCACCCATCAAGAAGATCTGTCCTCAGGGGACAGAGAGGTCAATGCAAACCATGTAGACACTGAACAGAAAGCATATTGAAGACATGACATATTCTAGAAGGTATTGAGGTTTTGAGCTGTTCCTTTAATTAAAGAGTGAGATGTGTTTGCTGGCCATATTTTATTTTCCTTTCAAGGTCAACTGTAGGACTCTGCGTAATGGTTACTGAAGTTTTTCTATATTTCATCTCGTAGTGAGTTAACAATTGCTTAAAACATCCTACATAATAGGACAAGAACCATAGCATATGAAGACTAATAATAGCCAAGCTAGTTCATTAGTTTCTTTGGACTTTGGGACCTTGCAGATCATTAAATTCTACATTTAGAGTCGAACATTCTCCCATCCCAAATCATTTGTTAGTTGAATGTGATTAGTCTACTTTATAGCTTTCTCTCTGTGACTTTCAAACTCTTATAATTATAGCATCCACTCATTAGACTATGATTTGGCAAATAATTAACTTGGTATGGAATTTTATGTTTTCAGCAAAATTTTTTTTTACATTAAAAAAAAAAAGAAACATCCTGCCATAAGTCTTAAGAGGTTTAAGACCCAAATCACCATTTTCCAGGTCTCCATTTAATTCAATGTGATTTTAAGTACAGACTATTTTAAATGGAGTTTTATTATTTGCTAAGGTTATTAACATGCGCATGTCATTCCACATGGTGACTAGATAAGTCATAAAGTGGGCTACATTTATCTTTGTAAATCTCATGTTTATTTTCCTAATGACAGGGAAGGAGGATGCAAGGAGAAAATTCAGAAGAACTCAAATATCTTAGTTCAATGATTTTTGCGTTTTATCTTTCACCCAGATCAAAACTGCTAATTTTATACGGCTAGATAGAGGTTTATAATTTGGCGGAAATTTTAGGAACCTAGTGAAAATATTTATTTTTACTTTTTGTGGTATGACAGGGATGTGTTAAAATGCTGTTGTCTTGGCATTAATTATGAGAAAATTGTCATGGTTGTGAAGGATATTTTTTACATGGTTAGCAATTTCACTTTGTACAACATTTATTATTGTTTTTTATTATTTGTACTTTCCAAATGTACTGTCTATTTATTTCCCCATTATAGTTTCTCTTTAGAGCCTTTTTATTTATTTTTTTCTTTTCAAATTTATGTACCTTTTAGCATGTGGTCACTTAAATACGTTTGGATATCAAGACTGAAAATAAATTGACAATAGACAGCATTATAAATTGAAACTACAGACAAAACTCAGAGCTGTCACAAAATGGGTCATCATTCACCTCAGGTCTTTGGGTGGTATGCTTGTCACTGTCATAGACTATCTTTTTGGTTCTGTATCACAATATTGTTATCTTTTAAAATTCAAGGTTATGATAATAAAATATAGCACTCTTCTGAAATAACAACAAGCATTTTTTACTGTCTTCCAAGAGATCTTGACAGAAAGGTATAGGACAGGTCTGAAAGCAACAGCAAATGTTGAATTTAACCTGGGTCAAGCAATTTGCCACCATTGTGTATTATTTTCCTCATTTGTAACAAAACAATAAAATACCATATTAATAATAACAACCTCTCAGAATTTAAGAATAGCTGCCTAAATTGTTAAGGCTTGATGTTTGCCTTTAAAAAGAAACTCATTCCTGTGCTCATTTTCTAGGCACTGGTTTTTCCATTTACTACATAGTTGTAATGGCATAGACATTATATATTACAGATATTTTTCCATTTAATAGTATTCATGATTTACTTATCCTTAACGACCAGTTCAGCAGTTTTTCCATGCAAACCAATGAACATATTTATGAATAAAATTTTTCACATTTAGGATTTTTTTTTTTTTTTAAACAGGGTCTTATTCAGTCACCTAGGGTGGAGTGCAGTGGTGCGATCATAGATCCCTGCAACCTCGAACTCCTTGGACTCAAAGGATACTCCTGCCTCAGCCTCCTGAGTAGCTGGGACCACAGAAGACGGTCGCCACATTCAGCTAATTGTTTATTTTTTTTTTTTTTTGTAGAGATGAGGTCTCACTACGTTGACCAGGCTGGTCTTGAACTCTTGAGCTCAAGCAATCCTTTTTCCTCGGCCTCCCAAAGTGTTGGGACTATAGGTGTGAGCCACTGTGCCAGACCAGAATTGATTCTGTAGGACTTTGTTAAAGGGTAAAAATACTTTTAAGGTCATTCATAAGTATTGCCAAGTGTCTTTCTAAAAGGTATATATCAACTTGCCTTCTCAAAAGGATGAAGGAATATGGGTTTCATTTCACCCTATATAAAGATCATTTTTTTTTCCCTCTCCAATTCATCCTATCACTACAATGGACAGCTCCCAGAATCTTTTCATGACACTTGGTGCTTACTCTTTATTGTTGTGGAAGAAGACATCAGACTTAGAGGTTGGATGCTTCTTTGGCTATAAACAAAATTAATACACACATACACACACAAACACATAATACATGACTTTTTTCGTTATGGTCCCAGATAGCACTCTTGATAAGGACAATATTACTAATTGATGTGAATTCACAGGGAAGAATGACAGGCTCCTTATTTTTCTTTGTATGTATCCTCTGTTTTTCAACTAATGGACTATTGGTTACAGGTTACAGTCATTCTGTGTAGCCCTTCATCTTTTAACCAAAGCACTGTAGCCTGAGACACACAATGCCACCATATGCCACCTCACTTGAAGCCAAATCAATCTTCTATTTCCATTAGCCCATCGATTTTACAATATCATTGTATGATAACATCAGCAATACCATGGTTCGGATGTGCATGGTTAGATAACTGAGGAGGAAAATGGAGCATAGTTCACAAAACTCCACTAACTATCTACCTTCCTAGCTACCACTGGCTCTTTTCAAATATTATTATAATCTCAAGCACTTTCTTTCACTCATCTTGATTATGACTAAGCTCCAGTGATTCAATCCTTAGTGCCAGGTTATTGTGCAATATTCTGACAAATAATGGAATCCATGAAGGAGCACTGTTTTTTCAGTGTCTTATCATTGTCCCCATTGTTACTTGCCAATTTGCACACACACAAAAAATCCCACTGAGCTCTACAGAGTCTAGCTTGATTAAATAGTTCCTTATTACCAAGATGCAGCATTAGAAAATTTCAATCAAACTGGAAAAACTAACAGAATCCTAGACACAGTTCTGTACAATGAAATGCACTAACAACTTGACTCTGCATTGAAGAGAAAATAAGATGTCCTATTTTCAATTGAGTCTAAGCACTCCACCTACAACTCTAGGGTTCATAACATCTGAAGACCCCATAATCCCATTCTCACGGCCTAGAATATAGCAAGCAAGGAGAAGGACCTAAAGTTCTAGAGTCTAAGTACATTAACATCCTGAGCCCAGGATCTTCAAATCTATGCTGCCTAGGGATAACTGTGAATTATTCTCATGCCTTAGTAGCTCCAGCAATGACTAAATGAAGTATATTATCTAAATTCTAAGCCAAGTTCACATTTTTGATATGTGATACTTATTGTTCTTATAAACACATTCACTGTGTTTATTTGTGTCTGTGGATGGCATTTTCTTCTATTTCCCTGATTTTCTGATTATGTTGAATTCTGGGGTAATCTGAGTTATGAAGTATTTTGGAAAACTGGGTAGTACCTGTCATACAATTTGGTTGAGAGGTCAAACTGTTACAATTCAATCTTGGAACTGAATAAAGAGATTTGACAGTTGCTATAAATTTGAATGAAGTATATGGTTTTTAGTGTTTAAAAATAAAACTGTGTTGCTAAAAAAAAAAATCACATGGTTTAAATACAAGGTGGAAAAGGCCTTTTTAGGTTCAGAGATGAAAGTAGCTTGATCTTACTTGGATCCTATTCTGATGAATGTAAGACATCCAACTGTTACAATAGAAAAATTGATCACTGCTAACTTAATAGGTGAAAGACCAGATCCATGCAATACACCATATGCAAAAGACATGTAATTAATGAGATACTATCTTTCATCTGGCAAATCAGCAAAGTGGTAGATGTGTATGTTTTAATTATGGATCTGTAAAGCTGACAAGAGCATAGCAAAAGAGTGTCACGCCCAGACAGCTTGTGAGACTCTAGGGGAATATAATTTTTTTTGGATAATATTTTGGCAAAATATATTATAAGCTTTAGAAATGCCTAGAATCTTTGGCTCATTAAGACCACTTCAGGGACTCCATCCTAAAGAAATAGACAGTGATGTAGTTAAAGATACATGTAAAAAGTCGTTGATTGGATAAAGATACAGTTATCTGTAAAAAACAAAAAGAATATTAATAGTAAATAATAGCATATTGGTTTAAGTAAACAGAAGTTCACGATAGGAATGCATATTAGGGTGAAAAAAATTAAAACACTGAAACATGGTCTGGACATATTAGAGGTAAACAACAAATAGAACAGAATAAAAAGGCCAGAAACAACCCAAAGATACGTAAACGTGGCATGAGAAAACACTGAAGAAAGAAATGTATTGGGGCTGGGCACAGTGGCTCACGCCTGTAATCCCAGCACTTTGGGAGGCCGAGGTGGGCAGATCACCTGAGGTCAGGAGTTTGAGAGCAGCTTGGCTAACATGGTGAAACCCCATCTCTGTGGCACATGCTTGTAATCCTAACTACTTGGGAGGCTGAGGCATAAGAAATGCTTGAACCCGGGAAGTGGAGGTTGCAGTGAGCTGAGATAGTGCCACTGTACTCCAGCCTGGGGACACAGTGAGACTCCTCTGTCTCAAAAACAAAACAAAACAATCTTAACATTTGACATATTATTTGAGCTAGGACTTCAAATTCATGAAATTTATCCTATTGAAGGATATTGAATCTGCACAATAATTTGATGACCTTGAGATGATTTACTGCAATGATGTACATAAAGATAAAAAGCCAGAAACAACTGGAATCTACCCAAATTGGGGATTAAACAATCAGGCGATACCATAAATGGAATATTTTATAGTCATTAATTGTAGAAAAAATCTAACAACATGAGAAAATATTAACATTGTTAAGCAGAAAAACAGGTTATAATAAAAGAAGTATACAAAGACTCCTTTTTAAAACTAAAACTACAATAAATTTTGAATTTATATATAAAAAATGAATATATATGTTTGTGTGGATATATATGTCAACAGTGGTTTTATATGAATGAATGATTTTGTATTTTATGCTTTGTTTTCTATAGTTTCTAAAATGAATGTATACTTCTTTAATAATCACTCCTGTAATCCCACCACTTTGGGCATTCAAAACCAGCCTGGGCAACATAATGAGATCTCGACTCCACAAAAAATTAAAAATTAGCCAGGCATAGTAGCTCATACCCATGGTCTCAGCTACTCAGAAGGCTGAGGTGGGAGGATTGCTTGAGGTCATTCCAGTCTTGTGACGGGGTGAGATCCTGTCTCAAAAAAAAAAAAAAAAAAAAAGGCCAGGCATGGTGGCTTATGCCTGTAATCCCAGCATTTTGGGAGGCTGAGGCAGGTGGATTGCCTGAGGTCTGGAGTTCGAGATTAGCCTGGCCAACATAGTGAAACCCTGTCTCTACTAAAAATACAAATAATTAGCTGGGTGTAGTGGTGAGCGCCTGTAATCCCAGCTACTCGGGAGGCTGAGGCAGGAAAATTGCTTGAACCTGGAAGGCGGAGGTTGCAGTGAGCTGAGATGGTGCCACTGTATTCAAGCCCGGGCAACAAGAGCAAACTCCATCTCAAAAAAAAAAAAAAAAAAAAAAAAAGGTGCTCTGTACTCCAAAAAGGGAGAAAAAATGACATTCAGCATTCTTTAAGAAGGGCCTATGAAGGATCTTAGATGGAGGTCAGGATTAAAAAAGCAAAGGATAACTCAAATATTCAAATCTGCTACAGTGTACAGAGGTGATGATGCTTGCAGGAAGGAGGCCCTTGGAAGTCATTATGATCCTGACCCCTCCATGGGGATGGGCCTGGGTCCTAAACAGCCCTTTTCATCCAGTTCCTGAATGAAAAATATATACACTGTACTTAAGAGGACACTGACCAGAGCTTTCCCTAAGGTGGGAGCAGGAGCCCAAGCTCAGCGTGGGTGGATACATGCCCCGGTGTGCCCGGAGCATGAACAGCACTGGCTCTGGTACTCAGAATGGCAAGAAAGCAGCCATGTGAACCAAGCAGGGCAACTTCAGTTTCTTGGTATTACTCAGACTTCTCAGTGTAGGTTCCACATTATATTAGCTTTCAAAGCAATCATCACTTTTCCAGAGTGAATTCTGCAAAGGGGAGGCCACAAATGCCTCCACTTCATTTTGGGAACACCTCAGAATCACCTCACCGAAGATCTCTGCTCTCCTTCCTGCAAACCTGTAATGCCTGAATGTGCATTTTCCTGAATCTTTTCCCAGCTCTTTGTGCTTGTTTGGCGTAGCCTCAGGCCAATGCTACCTGCTCTATTTCCAAACGTTTTAATCCTCTCCATGCTTCCTTTTCCTTTTTCCATCCTGCCTGAATAAAAGCATCCTGAAGATGGGCATCCATCTGCCCAAAAGATTTTCTGCTTTCACAAATTTAACACTTTCTGTGCCACATGAGTACAATCCTGATTCTCCCCTTAACCCAACTTGGCCACAGTGATGCTGGTTGGCTGGCTTGCATAAGTCTTGAGAGTTAATTTTGCTGTTCCCCTAATGCCATCAAACTGTAGTACTCAGAAAGCTACTTATGCTTTTAGAAGGGTAGAGGATTTGCCCTTACTTGGCCATTATATATTTTTATCTTTTTTTTGAGACAAAGTTTTGCTCTTGTTGCCCCAGCTGGAGTACAATGGCACAATCTCAGCTCACTGCAACTTGCACCTCCCAGGTTTAAGCTATTCTCCTGCCTCAGTCTCCCAAGTAGCTGGGATTACAAGCATGTGCTACCACGCCTGGCTAATTTTTTGTATTTTTAGTTGAGATGGGGTTTTACCATGTTGGCCGGGCTGGTCTCAAACTCCTGATCTCAGGTGATCCAACCTGCCTTGGCCTCCCAAAGTGCTGGGATTACAGGTGTGAGCCACTGTGTGAGCCATTATATATTTTTTTCTAAATGAACTCCAGATATATGTCTTCAAAGGATGCCATTGAGTGTAAATGACAAGAAGACAGTCATGACCCACATATCCCTGAAATGATGTAAGACATAGTCAATCTCTGTGTGAGCGAGTATAATTTCTCTCCATGTAGGTTTCCCCTGTGGAGTTTGCCAGGAATGAGAGTATTTTCTTGGGCATGGCAAAGCAGGTAAAAGAGGTTAACCAATATGTTGTCCAAGTTCAGGAATCTGGTTTTGCCCCATTGGACCAATCACACATCCCTAATAGCAAAACAGAAGGCTGAGAGAAGTGTATAAAGGACCATTATTCAAGCCCAAGAGCCAAGCGGTCTCACTTACCTCTAGTGTAGTTAATACAATCTTCTCAACTGAAGAAAAATAAGCCTCCCACAAGAATTGTGTCTGCTGTCTAAGTGCTAGGATTTTATCCTGATGAATAGACCTGATTGTAGAAGGAATCTGTAACACAAGGTGAACACATAGGAATTATAACTGTAAAACAAAGGATGCACTTGATCAAAATAACCCAACTGGGTTAGGCTTTTATTCTTTACAGCATTTGGCTTCTAGCATATAGATCTAAACATCATCAGCTCCTAAGTTGAAATGACCCTAAGAACTGTGAGTGGGAACCTGCCCCAATGGCCTCTGATGTGTGAAAGTCACAGCTGATCTCTAAGATTCGGCAGCAGCTTATCAGTTGTTAGGGTATTCTATAGTCACAATGGCTATTTCCAGAAATCCTCAACCTTGCACAGGGACAACCAAATTTTACAGAGGAGTAACTATAGGTCATGGGGAAAGGCCAGAAGACTTTATCCCCCAAGCACTTCCATGACTTTTTATCCCAGAAACCATGAAATATCTATAAAAGGACTTTTCAGAGAATGTCTATGAGCCTTCCCGTCCAACCTGAAGCTAGGGTCTGCCACTTTTATGTGCACATACCTTCTACCTCACTTTTGAGCCTTTCTGCTCCTATATCTCTCTTTCTGCCTTCAGCCTTACCCAAGTCTAGCTGGATCTCTTAAATGTTCACATATATTTAGCCATCACTGCTCTCTTCTAGGGTATACAATTTTAAAGGAAGGACCTATATCTTGTTATCTTGCAACACATTTTCAGGCTAGCAGAATGGCTTTTATATAGTGGTTATTAAGAAATAGGAGGTAAATATAACCATCTGAAGACACCACAGGGATATTATTATTTTTAATGGTAGTATAGCTTAATGGTTAAGCACAGGTGCATGGTAGTCAGAAAGATCAAGGTAGGAGTCTTGCCTCTACCATTTACTAGCAGTGCTTTCTTGAAGGAGTTAGCTGATTTCTCAAAGACTCCATTTCACTTATAAAACTCGGGTTTTAATGAAGATCATATAAGTGCTTAGCACAGTGCCTAAAACATAGAAAACTTAATTAATGTAGCTTATTATCACTACTGTTACCATTATTAATATCAGAGTGATAGTATTAAAAGTTGGACCCATTGCTTAATGTCTGCAAGGGAATCTGCTTGGAGCTGGAAATGTACTTCCTGAGTCTGGTAAGTTTTCTGGGCTTGTTCCCTGTTTTCACCTACAGTTCAAGGTCTATTTCATTTATGGAGTCTATACTCCTAAGGGGAGATTCCTTGTGATTAGCAATTGCCCTTTCGTGCTCACCTCTTTCTGCATGCTTACCTCCATAACGTATGACTAATCTGACAGATATGGGAGTCTGGGCTAAAAGGAGCAATGCTCCCTTAGCTGCTTTAATAGTAAAGTTACCCATGGCATTTGACTAAGACTGTAACAGAGTTTCCATTAGAGGGGAAGGAAGTGTTAGCACATTTTTTTAATTCAACACTCCCCTTTGGAGGAGCCATAAAACAGCTTCACAGTAAGAACAGAAGGAAAAGCTAACTTAGTTTGGCAATGTCCAAAACTAGATACTAAATCTGTGTCTCAAAGTGGATACCTGGATTTGCAACACAGGATTGCAACAGAGGCAACAGGTAAAGGAGAAACACTGGCAGACAAACATTAGCCTGTAATCAGAGCTCAAGGTCAAATGGAAATAAAACATTATTTGAGAAGGTAGAGAAATCATTCATATCATAGAACCTTTGTAAGTCCAAGGAAACTTATTTTTATTTACTCACTGAGAAAGTTACCTAGATTGCCAAAGAAAGATTAGAAAAAAATTATCCTGTTCAATGTTCATAACCATACCCTCTTCTAAATGTCAATGGTAATTGCTAAGAGTTATATAGGTTGGCATCACTGTTTTATCATGGCCACGAGGAAATAGTCTATTAGAAAAACGCATAAGGCTGGCTGCTGTGCCTCATGCCTGTAATCCCAGCTCTTCGGGAGGCCGAGGCGGGCGGATCACGAGGTCAGGAGTTCAAGACCAGCCTAGCCAATGTGGTGAAACCCCATCTCTACTGAAAATACAAAAATTAGCCAGGCATGGTGGCGCATGCCTGTAGTCTCAGCTACTTGGGAGGCTGAGGCATAAGAATCGCTTGAACCTGGGACGTGGAGGTTACAGTGAGCCATGTCACGCCACTAAACTCTAGCCTGGGTGACAGAGCAAGACTCTGTCTCAAAAAAAGAAAAATGCCTAAAGCTATCATTGCTATGTAGTCTCCAGAAAACTGAGTCTGCTGTGGTTATGAAAGGAGAAAAGGAGTATCACAGACTCACCTATCAATACGGTTCTCCCCTCTTAAATAAGATGCACCTTCATCTTACTACATCAAGTGCAGTGTATTCTATGGGTTTGTGATAGGATACAAGTGTCTGACAGCACTCTGCAAAGTGCTCCGGAAGACAACTCCAATTGATTGAAAAGACAGAGTTCCAAGTTTTAATGGCATTTGGCTATTGGTTATTAATCTGCTTGTCCTGAGAGACAGGTATGGGAAAGTGATAAATTAATTCCAATTTGGCTGGATTGTTTTGGAAGTTGCGGAGCTCAATGAAGTCTTAATAAAAGGTCACGTACGGTATCCAAGCAAATGGAATGCACCAGAATAGATACAAGAATGCCACATTAAGCTCTCTTGGTGACATGATGACAAGAATATATGCAAATAAAAACATCCGAGCTGTTCTAAAACAGGAAATGAAAAATTGTAACGTAACAAAAAAACATTTCCCAAAGCAGACGTTTGGGCTGGATGCCAACTCTTTAAAACCATTGTTAATGATAGTACACAGTTGCTGCTCAATATGGAGGCAGCTGTGCAAAGATGGACTGAATATGAGAGGGAAAAGCACCAGTAAGTCTGGGTGGGGGAGGGTGACAAAAACCAAATCTCCAGAGTCAACCCCAAAAGTGGCTTCAGAAAGTGAAATGCCCATCAACTTTGGTGAAATGGTAGAAACTGGACAATCGGCCAGGTGCAGTGGCTCACACCTGTAATCCTAGCACTTTGGGAGGTCAAGGCAGGTGGATCACGAGGTCAGGAGTTCAAAACGAGCCTGGCCACCATGGTGAAACCCCCATCTCTACTGAAAATACAAAAGTTAGGTGGGTGTGGTGGCGGGCGCCCATAAACCCAGCTACTCGGGAGGCTGATGCAAAAGAATCGCTTAAACTTGGGAGGCGGAGGTTGCAGCGAGCTAAGATCACACCATCATACTCCAACCTGGGCGACACGGTGAGACTCCATCTCAAAAAAAAAAAAAGAAAGAAAGAAACTGGACAACCACAATTAAGTATCCTAAAATGCGCTCCTTTCTAAAGACAAACTTCCAACTTGTTCACATCAAATTCATGGCAGCACTGGTATATAAAAGGAGAAATTATAGATGGTGTTTTTTCTTTTTTTAAATTCCATTTATTTCCCAAATTTCTTTTAATGATTATGCATTATTTTTAAAATAACATTTTAATAAAGGAAGAAAAAGGCAACATGGACAAGCATGACATGTATCACTTTTGTTTGGCTTTTCATGAATAAATGATTTTGGCATACACTGTCTCTCAATGGGGAAAACTTCCTCGGTGTTTCTACAAGGACGTCTTTTCTTTAAGGAATCATAATGGGAAATCATTGGCATAAAAGTGGCCCTTTCACAAAAACTCCAGACTCCTTTCTCAATGAACACCTAAGAAATTAAGTTGTATTCAGGGCAGAATAACTTAGTCTCCCAAAAAAATGGATTCTGCCATATTCTTCCTTTGTTTCTGAGGTCCTAGGAACCATGGAGATCACAAACTGAGTACCAGACAGAAGTAATGTTTCAGGAGCTGTGGTCAATTTCTTGTTGAAATGAACTAACCATTTGATGATATGTACAGCTGTATACTTGAGTCTTTTTTAGTTTACTTATAAAGACTAGCAATTTGACCTGTTAAAGAGGACTAGTTCAAGTTAAGAAACTAAGGTTGTTGTATATATCTGGAGGCATCTGTTATTCAGCTTATTGTTTGAGTGGGTTTTTGGCACAATGAGGATAAACTTATGTGACCCACTTGAATGGCTAATCTAATAATGTTGACATGAATTCTGTACTTAGTGAAATGTCAGATGAAAATAACTGATGAATAATTTTTTATATTAAAGGGATGGGAAAAGAACACATGAATTTGTTAATAAAGCACTATGATTGGCAAAAGAAAAAAAAAAAAAGGTCTCTAGTGTACAGTTAGTTCATCTGTCATTTTAGGGAAAGTGCTGCATTACTTCAATGTCAGCTAGCAGACCGGCCAGCAGCACAGAAGTAGAATCAACAACAGACTTAGAGGCCGGGTGTCGTGGCTCATGCCTGTAATCCCTGCACTTTGGAAGGCCAAGGCGGGTACATCCACCTGAGGTCAGGAGTTCAAGACCAGCCTGGCCAACATGGTGAAACCCCGTCTCTACTAAAAATACAAAAATTAGCCAGGCATGGTGGTGGGTGCCTGTATTCCCAGACACTCGGGAGGCTAAGACAGGAGAATCGCTTGAACCTGGGAGGCGGAGGTTGCAGTGAGTTGAGATCACGCTACTGCACTCCACCCTGGGTGACAGAAAAAACTCCATCTCAAAAATAAAATAAAATAAAATAAAGACTTAGAAACTCAATTTAATAGATATCCAAAAAATAAAAAGGCAAAAACATTTTTTAAAAAATCTGCAAATATTTGTGGTAATTCAAAGATAAAGTGTATGGTGCAATGAAAGAAAAACACTAAAATATTATATAATTTAGGAGAAAAGAGCATGGCAACTTGTGTTGATCCTAAAACAGAAATACACAAAGGGCTTTAGAAATCCTTAGTTAAAAAAAAAAAAAATACATGATCATTCCGGCCCTCAGATTTCTCTGTGAGTATTGTATCCCCCTCCCTAGGCAGCTCTTGAGCAGTTCAAACTTTTATTAGGGGCCGCTCATTTAAATATACATCCTAAAGATAACACTCGCTCAGACACCCAGACTGGATCATTTGAGAAATGATAACACTAATTACAAGAACGAGCCCTAGAGACCTCTCTCTTTCTGAAAATTAATCTGAAGGCAAGTGCAGAAACAGAGGAAAGGAAAATGAAACAGCAGGGTAGGATAAAAACTCTCTGGTAATACTTCTAAAAATTCTGGTTATTGAAGGGGGTGGAGATCCACTTCTTGAAAATCAAAGCTTCCATTCTTTACCTGCAACTTCTTTTCAGAATATATTCTGGGGACCTGGGCAGATTTTGTTGGAAAGTGAACAATGTCATATTAAATGACTTCATATTCACCATGACACAGGTAATTTTCTCCTGATAAAATTTCTTTTATAGAGCTGACCTTTTGGATTCATCTTCTTTGAAAGTTTGGACGGGGGCAGCAATAATCTGCTGATGTGTTGAAGGCCACAGTCCCTTCCTTACCTGTAGTAACAATCTCTCATCGCCAATGACGGCAGCTTGGTTCCAATTAATCACTTCAGAGAATGGCAGCTCCCATCCATTGCTGAGCATCACAGGGACGCAGGCAGCCTAAGCAAAAAAGGGGACGTCGTGAATTTGAGGAAAGCAACAGCAGAAACTGTTCCAATCAAAGGTGAAATCAGTACAATTTCAATGACTGGCATTTTTGACACTGCATGAATCCTGGACTGCCTAGGCCGGAAGGAAAGGAAGCTTTTATGAGTTATCAAGTCACACCAAGGTTGTATGTACCTAGACTAGATTTTCATATTTGCAAGTCTTGCCCTAGAATGCTAAAACCCCATTTCTATTCTAGTATATGGTTTGGCTGACCTTACTTCCGTGGAGACGACTGGCCTTGCTGGAGAAGTTTCTATTGATGCAACAAAAGCTTGCACCAACAAAACTTGAGCATAAAACCAACCTTGAATATAAATGGTCTTGTCAGTGTAACTGCCATAAGTCCATGGTGCAAGGTGGTTTACCCCAATGTCATGGGCAACAAAGAGCAGAATGGAGCTCAGCATTCCTATGCAGCGTTTTGTAGACTTAACCAGTATAGAGTGTTCACATTTCCCTTGCTCTGCAAACACCTAAAGCAGAACTTTGTTCCCTTCAATGGAGGAGTGATCTAAACCACAGTCATACAAGTTTACTGTCTGTGCCGGGAAATAGCCAGGAAACACTAGGTTAATGACAGAATACTGATTCCAAATAACTCATAATCCAAACCAGAGAACAATTTTTTTTTATGCAACATCCCAGGAGGCTACAAGAACATTCATGATGGCATTCTATGCAGAATATACACGAGAGCACTTGGAAAAGACATTCCAGAGAAGGAACCTCTTCTGTGGGAGGACATGGCAGAATGATTTGCAGTTGAGCTGGCAGAGATAAGAAGTTATGAAGCACTGCAGCAAAAGCACGGCATGGTGTAGGGCACAGAGGAGGAAAGAACATAGCAGAAAGAGGTCGAGGAATGCAGGATGAGAGAAGGTGAGGGATGCTTTCTCGTAGCAATCGAAGAAGGCTGGTTATAACTTCCAGATGGGAAACGTAGACGACTGTCTCAAGAGAACAGTGACACCATGCTGGGGATCATTCTCAAAATTTAAAGGAACTGAGAGACAATGAGGATGCCGGCAGAAGAGACAATTTTGCTTTTAGGGAGTACCACAAATAAAGAGAAAGAGGGCCAGGCACGGTGGCTCAAGCCTGTAATTCCAGCACTTTGGGAGGCTGAGGCGGGTGGATCACAAGGTCAAGAGATCGAGACCATCCTGGTCAACATGGTGAAACCCTGTCTCTACTAAAAATACAAAAAATTAGCTGGGCATGGTGGTGCGTGCCTGTAATCCCAGCTACTCAGGAGGCTGAGGCAGGAGAATTGCCTGAACCCAGGAGGCGGAGGTTGCGGTGAGCCGAGATCGCGCCATTGCACTCCAGCCTGGGTAACATGAGTGAAACTCCGTCTCAAAAAAAAAAAAAAAAAGAGAGAAAGAGCTGGGCTGCTTTCTAGAGTCCAGCTAGGCTGCCTGATAGGCCAAGTTGGTAAACAGATTTGCCTTCTGTTTGCAAACATGACCCGTTTAATTTCTTACATCTAAAGTTACTAAGTCCCCTCTCCACCCCTCACTTTTCAAAAATGTTTTAGATTCTCTTGAAAATAATTTCAGATCCTTAAGGGAAACCACACTTTCTCTTTAGCTTATCCCAGGAGAGGTGATAATGTTAAATTTACTTAATCTGGCTTCAGTCCTCAGCCCTATTCTAGGAAGGTTCCAGGGCCTCTTACCTGCAAAGCCTCCAGGAATCTGAAGGACCCAAGCCTGCGACCACGAGGAACCAGACAGAAAGTGGCATTGTGCAGCATTTCCCGATAATCATACCTAGAAAGAGAGGAGGAATAATCAGCAAATGAAGACCCGTTGGGAATGTGGGGATGTCGACCATAGGTGGGTGCCCACGTGCGTGAATTTACACAAAGCAACTCAGGAAAGCCACTAGCAGGCAGTGCTCACTTTTCCGTTTCAAAGAAGGAGGTTGGGTTACTGCATGAAGAACAAACATGATTCATCATGTTGCACAAAAAAATTAGGATCCCTTTTGCAAGCAGTATATATAAAGACAAGTCTGATCGTTCTGGCAACCATTTGATTTGCCCAGTCCTTGGTCCAAAATCAGATTTTCGAGTCTTGATTAAATATGTTGCCCCATAGGCTTAAAAAGGAAAAAAAAAATACTGCTGCTTCTCCTTCTCCTTTAACAACATGGCATTTAGCAAAACTAAGACTGTATTGCTCCCCATTCCTTCAAAGCCATGCTGTAAAAAACGATCCAGAAAACCTCTATCATAAGCACAGAACAATATTTGTTTTCTCCTTCAAGATGGAGCTTCTACAGTTAACCAAGAACAGTCAGTTACCCAGGAAAAATATTCCTGTTTAAGAATGGCTGACATAACTTACAGGAAAAAGAGGAAGTGAGAGGGAAGGATGCTAGCCTAAGAGAGAGGAAAAAAAGAAAAACGAGAAAAGAAAAGAAAAGAAAAGGGAAAAAAAGCCCGGAAATAGTAGGGGGTACAGGAAACTGGTCTACAGAATAGATGAATCAATTTTTTTATTTTACTCAAATTCCATTTAACAGTATTACATTGCTTTTGCATTTTGAAAAAAAATACAAAATACGAATGTTACCTGTCTCCTTACACCAGTGAGGTTTAAAAAAGATAAAATGCATTTCACTTTGTTTACGACTGTTGCTTTTAAAGTGATTGCCATAAACATATTCCTACATAGACAGTTTCAAGTATATTATGAGTTTAAGAAAATTTGAGAAAGTAGAGATGGCTCATGTCCTGTAAAGGCCCTGATTCTTAGAGCCAAGATGAAATCACTCTCATTTTTCAAGAGCTTCCAGTGCTGAGCAGACAGGTGTGACTTTGACAGCAGCATATGTCACCACCATTTTCTGACTCTAATAGTCTAATTTAATCATAGCCTAAAGGCACTGAATTCCTCCCTCTTCTTTTTGGGATATTGGCATATATCTTTATATTTTTAAAGTCCACATCTATTTTTATATTCTCATACAAACTAGGCATATGAGAGTAAGCCAATTTTCAATTATAAACCCGTCATTAAGAAGAGACGTCATGCAAAGGACCATTTGCTTAAACAAGCGTGTACAACTAATTTGCACAAGAAAAGGTCACCGTGAATGGATTAAGATTATCTCCATTGAGAGTAAAAATTTTCTAAAACCCTTCTTGCATCAATTAAATTGCAAAATAGACATCAAAGTAAAAAAGATTTTTAAAAAGGCATGAATTTAGTTAAATAAAAAAATTATACATTAGATGGTAATGATTTCTTCTTCCTCACCAAACATAGCTGACAAATATCTTCAAGTTCAAATGTTGATAATGTCTGAATCTCTGCCTAATAGATGGAGAAGAGAGAAATGTGTACACACACACACTCTCAGAAAAATATATGCATAAAGTTTAAGCTGATTTTTTTTAAAAGGTCAAATATACTTCAGACTACAGCAAAGTTTAATAAGTGCCCAGAATAGAAACCCCTGAGGGACTAGCAATGAAGGTCCTACATCCTCATCATTAGCCTACTAAAAATGTAAAACCCTATTAATGTTCTGCACTGTAACAAGTTTCAGAGTTGCTAGTTGCAGAATTTACTTTAGGGAGTGAGTGGAAGAAGAGGAAGGGCAGAAAACTTAGAGGAAAAATTCAAATGACAGTTTTACCGGGTTGCTGACTTTAAAATGGTTATATAGAAGGACTATGTGCTGATATAGCAAGCAAAGGAGTACATCGAAGCTTGTACTCCTGCACACAATAGGTCATATGAGATGTGAGAAGAATACCCTTGGCAGGAGTAGCTGTGAGACTTAACAAAACCCATGAGCTTTCTATCTGTTTCCTCATCTGCAAAATGAACTCGTTGGGCTAGATGACTACGGATTCAGTTTTAATATTCGGTTATTCTTTATCTTACCATTTTTAGGTAAGAAAGAGAAGCATCCTTTGAGACTATCCCACTACTTAGAAGATTTCCATACCATATATATATATACTTTATATATGTATATACATATATAATATATATATACACTTGTTTATATGTATATATACAGTACATATAGTATATATATTGTATATATGTACACAATATATATATGCTATATATATACAGTACATATATATATACACACACACATATATGGGTATGGAATTGTGCATATATATGTATATACATATATAATTGTGCATATATATGTGTATATATATGTATATATGCACAATTCCATACCATATATGTGTGTATATATAAGTATCTGTTCATATGTATGCAGTGCATGTCTAACATACGTGTGTATTCACATAGAGACACACAGATACATACAGAACATATACACTCATACCTCAGAACAATGGTTTTCATTCAGATTTCTAAGCATACTAAGCCCATAAACCAGCCTCTCTTTTCTGCTCCCTGGACAGTGAGTCTATGAATAACTATCATGTTCTACCTGAAGGAAGAACGATGCCTCTCAAGTGGACAGACAACGATTCTAGTTTGACCACGTGCTTGGTCCTCTCCCACTCAGTCCATTGTGATGCTCTTTCACACTCCACATCAACCTCCTTGCAGATGCTTAAATCTACTCATTTATTCATTCATTCTCTAAAGAAATGCTGTTTCAGACACTATCCTATTTCAACTGATGGAATACAGAGAAGGGATTCCCTAGTTGCTGGAGCTACCAAGGCAGCACCTGACAATGAGAAAATGCTGATGAGATGAAAATTTAAGATTTAAACATCTCCTGGGAGTATTTGCATTATAAGAGGAGATTATGGAAGGCCCAACTTCCAGAAGAAATACGAAGAACTCTGCGGACACTCTCCCCAGCAAAACAACAATTTAGTAACAATTGTAAAAACATTTTAAGTCTCTGCAAATTGTCCTAAGTGCATAACAACGAATAGAGAAACAGTCATTCAAGAAAATCTACCAAATTTTGGCAAGTACCCTGAGAGTCCGTGGCATCTGGGCCCTGACCTGTTCCATGACCAACCCCTACTAGCTCTGCCTTACAGGAGCTTTACTCTGGGGGAGTGCAGTCGGGAAGACTGGGCTCCCCATCCCTCCAGCTTCCATCAAGAAAGTGGAAAAAAGGCTACAGAAAGAGAAAATGGGCCAGGTGAGATGGCTCACACCTGTAATCCCAGAACTTTGGGAGGCCGAGGCGGGCAGATCACCGGAAGTCAGGAGTTCAAGACCAGCCTGGCCAACATGGTGAAACCTCATCTCTACTAAAAATACGAAATTAGCCAGGCATGGTGGTACATGCCTATAATCCAGCTACTCAGGAGGCTCAGGCAGGAGAATCGCTTGAACCCAGGAGGCAGAGGTTGCAGTGGCATTGCACTCCAGCCTGAGGAACAAGAGCAAAATTCTGTCTCCGAAAAAAAAAAAAAAAAGAATGTATTTGCCAATCATATATATGAAAAGGGACTTTCATCTAGAATACATAAAGAACTCTTCTGACTCAATAATAAAAAGACAAATAATCAAATTTTAAAAGAGGCTAAGGATTTGCATAAACGTTTTTCCAAAGAAGACACACAAAGTGCCGATAAACACATGAAAAGATATTCAACATCAATAGTCATTAGGGGGAAGCAAAACAAAATTACAATGAGATACCACTTTACACCCACTGGGATGGCTGTAAGCAAAAAGACAGATGAGAGCAAGGGCTGATGAGGATGCAGAGAGATTGGAACCCTTCATACATTTCTAGCAGGAAGGTAAAATGCAGCCACTTTGGAGAGTAGTTTGGCAGCTCTTTTTCAAACTAAAAATGGGTTTACCATATGACCCAGTAATTGCACTCTTGGGCATGTATCCCAGAGAAATGGAAACTTATTTTCACGCGGAAACTTGTCCACAAATGTTCACAGCAGTTTTGTCTGTAATAACCTCAAACTGGAAGCCACTCAAATGTCCTTCAATGTGTGAATGATTCAACACATTGTGGTACATCCATAGCTTAGAATACTTCTCAGCAATCAAGTGAGACAAACTATTGATACACACGACAACTTCAAGGAAATTATGCTGCGTGAAAAATTCACCCTCAAAAGCAAACATTCTGTAGTATCCCTTCTATATGACATTCATGAACACACATAATTATAGGGGTAAGGAACACTTAGAAGTTGCGGTTGGTTGGGGGTAGGGGAGAAAGACAAGGAGACTTGACAGGTCAAATGGGGGGACACGATGTTTTAAGATGGATTAATTCTCCTTTAAGTCTTACATTTAGAAAAGTGAATTACATTATCACACACTACTTAAAAGAAACATATGAGATCCTAAGCAAGAAGGTAAGTAGGTAAGAGAGACAACTAATCCCAGATAATTTGCCGCTCTAATCAATAAATGGTTTTGCCGCCCTTTTCAGATGGGCGTTAAGTTCCCCACTGTGTCGGGAAAGGTTGACAAAAGGTGGGGAGGGGTGGGGAAAATAAATATATACATAAAGGATGACAAAAGGTAGGAGAATTTTCACAAACTTCTATAAAGAAAAATGCAACAAAAATGGCATGACCTTGAATTTAACCTAGAAACCAGCACCACTCTATGGTCATAATACTTTTATCCTTAAAGCTGTGTTGAACAATGTATGGGATGCACCCCATTTAAAGTGGACTATTTTAATGCACAGTTGAAATCCTGCCCCTCTGTATGAAACACATGTTTGCTGGCAGTCATTCTGTGCAACTGGGAAAGAGATGGGGCACTGTGGCATAGTGCAGGGGTTCTCAACGTGTGTCCTTCCAACCAGCGGCAACATCTGC